GCAGAAGTCAGGAGGCAGTGTGTGCTGTGGCTCCACTCCTGCTGATGAAGCCAAGGCCACTGTTAGGAGGAACTAATTATCCTGAACTCACCTCAGAGAGTTTGTGCTGGGCATACATCAAAGTTACACAGCACATCCAAATCTCCCATTCAGAAGGCTACCAGAATGGAAAAAGACTGCAGCTGGATGGGCTGCAGTGAAATCCAGGGTCACCTCCTGCACAACAGCACTACAGCAACAGGAAACAGGAGAAACACCTTCTTGGAAACTGCTACGGTTTCTCCATCTATTTTCTCCAGTATGAATGATGAAGATATAAATTATTTTAAAGTTAGCACTGATTAATATCCCAATCAACCACTCTGAAATCCCTTACAATACTGTTCCATGTATGTTTCCTAAATATTACTGGAAATGCTAGGAAGAACTAAGATAAACTGATCATGTCCACAATGTACTGAATGAGCAGCTTTGAGTTTGCTTAGAAAGTGTTGATAAGCTAAGTAAGCTTAATAGAAGAACTGCTTAGCAGAATTAAAAATTGCTTAACAGATAACTTATTTGAGCTCATACTTACCAAATGACATCCTAAAATTAAGAGAGAAAAAGGTAAGAAGGTATTTTTAAATTTTTTTAATGTATTAAGACAAACTTGCCTTTATTTTCACAATAATATAACTCTGCAGATAGAGACAACACTATAACTGCATTCAAATGTTTTTATAAAAAGACTTTTTGGATTCTTGGTGCTGCAAGCTCTTTTTAAAAATGGTAAATATTTCTATTTCTATCTTAATAATAAATGATTTTTCTCAGCTGAAACCTGGAACCATCAGATGTGCTAAATAAAAGATCATCCAGCTGACTTGCAGAGTGACTTTTTCCTACAGAAACCACATACAAGTCTGATTCATATCCTACATGTATTTGTACATTAGATTTGTACATTTCAAATATTCAGACACTTTCAGATAAGAACACAGTAGTGGTATCACAAAAATCTGAATTCCTCTTAAAATGATTTAGAAATGTTAGCGTTGAGCAATAGATGTGCTCTCGTGTGCAAAGAAGTAAAAACACATACTTGAACCCAAGATTCTCCAGTTCCTGAACTGTTATCTCCAAGAGAGTAAACCTCTAGAGTACATCTCCACATGACACATTTATCTAAAGTGGCTGCACACATATAATGATGGCTTTTGTTTAGTGATCATGGTCATTTTGAGTTTGTTTAAATACTGCAGCCGAATGCTTATAAACTAATCCCAGAACATTTTGAAATGCTTCAAAGCTTTTAGCAGGGGAACCTCTTGCATGGGCTTTGTAGATGAAGCTGACCACAGTTCACTGGAACCAGACAGCTCAGATAAGTAAGATGAAAGCAGACATTTCCTGAAAATATCTTGAAAGCTTTCCATTAGTCTGTGCCAGGGGTATACACTAAAAACAGAAAGTGCCCATGCTTGTACAGCAACCAATCTTCACATTGCTTTCTCCATTCTTTCTTGAACTACTGTATTTGTATCTATTTATCTGCTTCATTTGCTTTTCTGCAATGTTCTTTGGGGGAAAAAGATGCAACTTGTGCATTCTGGTTTACAGTACATTATAAAGCAGCTATTACTAGAACAGAAAATTCTGTTTAACATATTAAACATTGCAACAGGAAGAAATAGAAATCTACCAATGCCAAAATTAATACAAATTACAATAAATAAGAAATTTGATCTACAGATAATTTTTAAAAGTCACCTACTCCATGACAGGCATGAATGCAATTGTTTGAACCTAATTCTCTGGTTGTCAAAGTGTACTCTAAGAAGGTCGATTCAGCACTGCTGAATGTGCTGGTCATAGGAGTGCCTCAGGCTAGATTTTCAATAAAGGCTGAGACTGGCTGTTCATATTTTATACAATAATTTGATTGAATAAATCCAACTGCTCACTAGGAACATGAAACACTCCACTGTTGCGACCTCCAACATTTTATCCCTTGAGACATACAGCCTCAACAGTCTCACTGTCCCGTTTCAGGCACTTCCTTTCAGAACAATGAATGAGAGCCCAGGTTTCCTTAACAGTCAGCAGACTCGACGGGCACATAAGTACTGCTAACAGCTTCTCAAGGACCAGCAGACTATGGTGAGCCCAGGTTCTAATCTAAGCACCAAGATTTGGTGTTATGACTATCCATCTTGCTGTATCCTACAAGGAGTTAATATGCACACTTGTGTGAAGAGAGGACAGCACTGTCACACCATAATACAAGTATGAAGCACTGATGACACTTGAATTCAATACAGCACCTATGACAACAGCTATTCTGTCCTGCAGCTGATCACAAAACGGGTCGGGGCACTCTGAAAGTGCACTGTGGAGTTCAGTACACCAAGTCCCCAGCACACTCCAGCCATACACGAGAAGGAAGTGGTGAGCCACAACACTGATGCACAAAATGGGGTGCAAGCAAAGTCCAACAGTTGCTACTTGAAACAAAACAAACCTGCCCCCTTCCATACAAAACAAAAATACTTGAAGTCTTCATAGGGTTTTTTGAGGTATACCTTGGAAGTCATGTTCACTCTGCATTCTGTAATCTCTGCTCCCTGCAGCCTGGGATACTTGTGATATGGTCTGTCATCCATCTGGAAAGAGGAAGTATTATCCTCTTCCAGGGTGTTGCTTATGCAGTTTAGTATTGGAAGTAAAATGGTCGTCCTATGTCTGAAACCAGGACAAGACTGTGAATAAATATTATCAAAACAGGACTGGAGCTCATGAAGATCCACTCTGACTCAGGCCCCAAACAACTCCCTGATCTAAGTGACATTACATGTGCTACAATGTGTGTAATCTCTCAGTACAGCTAAAGGAGAGGACTTAATAGGGTGTACTTTTTTTTATGAGAAATATTAGTAATATATGACAGGTTCCTTGGCAGATTGCAGGAGAAGAGGCCACAATGTGAGGATCTGTCTGTGAGGGATTGCCCAGGTCCTCAGTAGCCTTTCCCTGCACACTCCTGGATTCCACTAAATACTGAAATTTGATTAGAATTCCCAAATAACTAAGTGTTCTGCTTTAGTCTTTCTGGAAATGATGCAAGACGTGTCATCTTGTTAGAGGAATCTTAACACTCGTTCTAACCCACCAAGATCCTTCTGCATCATCTCCTAAGAGGCAGCTGAGAAAATCTGTTCAAAATCTCAAGATCATGAGCTTGCAAGAACCTTACAATAAGGGGAAGTCAACAGAGGTTTTATTAATTATGTCACTAAAATAATATTAGAAATAAAGTCTGCTGTACTTTAAGAGCAAATATAATTCATTTGTTTAGGGGCAGACCCTTAGAAAGCAAATGTAAAAAGAGACTTGGTTCTCTGCTTACACTGATTGTTACCAAGACTGCCTACTACTTGTATAACATTTTAAAGCATCTGTAAAACAATCATTAGTTATGTAAACATTTAGAGCTCATCAAATGCAGAGACCAGCAACATACTTTAACTTCTGATCAAAAAGTCACCATTTCCTTAACTATACAGAAACTACTTGAAAAATTCATAAGATCTGTTTCACAAATTAACAATTCAACCATAAGAATATATAGTAAAAATGACAAAAGATTTGTTCTTATAGTTGATAAAAAATTTATGCCAAGGCATTCAAGTAAAGTTACTTTCTGTGTTCTGATTTAATGACTCATTTGAGCGGTGTGTGGCTGGGTGACACAGATGCAGGGCTCGCTGAAGCCTGCTCTAATGCCTGCCGGTACAGCCTTCCTTGGGACAGGAAAGCCAGAACAATGTGTCAGACTGAGGCAATATCAAGGCAAGTAAGTGCAGTGCTGGGGATGCTCTGAGGCTGGCCCACAATACTTCTTGACCTGTGAATGTCTGTAAGTACTTCTCTGTCCTACAGGCTCCAGTGACCCAGGAAGCCTAAAAGAAGCAGCAGCAGTGCAGTAATAAACAGGCTCTGGAATAAAAATTTCTGCAATCTTGTAATTCAAGCTCAAGACGTACAAAGACTGCTTGATGGTTTAACCCTACTGAAAGGCAGGGCCTGACACCGATGGTGTGAAACCACCAGTGATTTCTTAAAAGGTGAACTAATGTGAAATATTTAATACAAATTTGTGTTCATTTAAAAAACTGCAAAGTTTGTGTCTTTAACCTCAGAAATGTACCTGAATTTGCAAAATACAAATTAAGGAACTCACTGTAAAAGCATATGAATATTGCTTTTACAGATCGTGCATTTGCGTAGAAGTTTACTCAAAGACACTATAATAAAATCAGGCTTCCATTAGGAAAACGCTTATAAAGGATTTAATTCTATAGTAGGTAAAACAAAGCCAACAAGGAACCGTAGGCCTTGTGATATCATAATCTTGAGCAATAAAGCTAATCTTCACAAAAATAAACTACTGGTTCCCAGTATTCCTTGGGAGTTGCTAAAAGAGCTTTCCCCTCTAAAAGAAGTTTGCTAAAATATTTAAACAAATGTATTTAGAAGCACACCACATCTTTATGGAAATAATTTGACTTTAATCATAGGAGTGAAATCTTTTAAGAAATTAGAAGTAAAATGAAAAATGAAAAGCTTAACAGTTATGCCAAATCCAAATAATACAATACACATCATTTTGTCCTAATGCCAGACAGGAAGAATGTCTCTCAGCAGCAAATGGAAGAGGGTGAATTATACTCCTTCATCCCACCAGCCCTCCTTAAAACCCCCTAAGGGCTTAAGTTTGCTTTTATTAACATAACATTCAGTTATTGTTAAAAAGTTATTGCCCGCTGTTAACAATTGCTGCAAGTTGGACAATCCTGTTTTGTTGAGAGAATTTAGTTCATTTTCATGAAAAAAAGATTTCTCTTGATTCCACAGTTAATTTCAATAAATCTCAGCTTCTTTTATCTGAAAATTAAATCTTGTTATAGGCAAGTTAAGACAGTTGCATATAAGAATATCTGACATTAAAAGGTACTTACACAGACAACAAAACAATAGCGATTAGAGTCCACTCGGGCATTTTGTGAATAATATTTCTGTTTGTTAACCTGAAAAGTAATTTAAAAAAATCATTACATTTCAGAGTAAAAGTAAACAGATTTTAACAGCGGAATTTTAAGTCTACTGTTAATACACTGAGTTATAATGAAGCAACTACAGCTGTATCTGAGCAATGCACCAACTTTCAGGCTTCTTTCGTCCTGTAATGGAGGAGCTGCAGAATTTCTAATATGTCTCTTTTTTTCTATATGAAAGTGGGATGGGAAAGACTGAAAAGAAGCTAATTCTTTGAATATGCTCACAAATAGTCCTGGCTGCTGTGAGCCCCACTGGGAAATTCTCCACAACTGCACACGTGTTTCTGAAAAGACAGATCTTTACACTTAGTTTCCCTCCTGTTGGCTTCGGATCCAGATTTGCTGTGAGAGCTAATGTGGAAACAGACTGAATTTTATAAAATACCAGCAGCAATCCTCTGATGATTCTTGTTTTTAAAATGGAAACCCAGAATTCTAACTTATGCAATGGGAGCCAGAGCAAATATAAGAGCCATATAAATGCAAGGTGTGAATCAAGAACCTCATGGGTGTGCAAGCAAAGAGTGCTGCTGCACTGAATACCAGCTGACCTGCTTGGCTGACCTGCCTAATAAAACAGGTCTGCTCCAAGTCATGTGCTAATCTGTCCCACAACAATTCACGTGTGAATTGCTATGGCTGAATTTGGCATGGCCCAAGACACGCAATTCCATGGAAAAGCCCAATTAAAAAGGCAGCAGTGGCTGTGCCGGCACCCAGAAGAGCCAGCAGAATTTATTTTATTTTATTTATTAATTTTATTCAGACAGATGGCTCCATCCAACAGAAATAATGAGAGGCAAGTGCCTCCCAGTGTTTGCTTCCTTCTTGCTCTCAGCTTCCCTTCTGTGAAGCCTTGAACAAATTCAGATTCAGAATGAAGATACCCTGTTATTCACACTCACTCTACAGGCACTGGCTGAAGGTAAGAGCTTGTTTAAAATTAACCGTTTGGCAACAAATCCAAATCCAGGGTTTTCTTCCCCAGTAAGACTACTTTAAAAAAAAAAAGTTTAATTACTTTGGGCAAGTATACAGTTAACAAAAGAAAAAAAATTACAAATTGAGAAGATAGAAGTATTTGTACTTGTCATTGTTGAAATAAGAATTCTGTTAACTAATTCCCCAAAATTATATTCAAAGTGGTCATTAAAAATGCAGTTATGAATAGGATCTTTTATGTTTGCATTTATCTATTTCAGAAACCTATTAAAAATTAATAAAATATATTTGTAAAGATAAAAACAATATTATCCTATTTTTCTTCTCAAATGTCCAAGTCTTCAAACCAAAACAAGATTTTGAAGCAATGATTCCTCAAGTAGTGTCTCACCAGCCTGAGTTTTGTTAAATTATGAAAGGCGAAACAATGTTTTGCACTACATATGCAGGAATTGTCACATCTAACTAGAACCAACAGTTCTGGCAAATGCAGATTATATTTGCTACTAAAAGATTAATGTTTAGCAATTATTATTTAAAAAAGCTAATTGATCTAGCTGGCAACAAAGCTCGTACCTGGTAAAGTGTTACATTTTTCTGGCTATAGAGCAAGAGCCAAAACAAAGGCTGAACATCTTGGCTCAACACTGATGACAGTGATAAACACTACCAAGAAATGTCTGATGGAATCATCCTGACAGGCAATTCACATGTAACATTCCAGTTAATCTGTTATGATGAGACACAATGAAAGAGACAGCTCCGGGCCATTTGGGAAAACTCTGTCAGATAGAGAAAGCAGCTTTATTTCAATGCTCTACAAGGAGTTATTATTGATTAGAGCACAAGAAGGTGTCATTCTTGTACACAAACTGAGAGATGCAGTTATTTGTGTCAATTAACTCTTATTCAATGTTAGTATTGATTGGCAAGGTCTGAACACTGGTCATTGCCATCAATATGCTCTTTATGAAGGAGGCAGTCAGAAGACCCAGATAACCAGCAGGATATGGCAATATGGGTCTGCTGCTGTCCTACTGTCACCAGACTGGATGAACAGCCAGGCTCCCACTATGAGTAACCTTTCGGTACAACACCTGTCCTAAAACACTTTTGTGCAGCTGGAACAAAAGCCCCATTTCAGGCAGATCAGAGTAAAGCTAGCAACCTACAGGTGTGAAGCCTTAAATAATAAGGAGCAGTGGAAGGGCAGTCACTTTCAAAAACAAGCTGGGTGTCAACACCAAGGCCTCTGAAGAGCAAAGCTTTCAGAAAACAGGGAACTGCATGGCCTCTGTAAAAATGGTTCATTAAATGTGCCTTGCCTCCAGCCAAAACCGTTATTTCAGAACAATCCATGAAAGAGAGGTCTCTAGATTCTGCCACAAGCACATAACGTGGAAATGTTAAAACTCTACAAAACTTTGTGTATGTGATTTGAGTTCTGCAGTGGAATATTTTCTGTTAAAGAGCTGGACTAAATTCTCCCTCACCTACCTAAAGAAAGAAAACAATACGCAACTTTCCAAAACGGAACGTCTCTGCTTTCTTGGCCTGTGCAGAGCAGGACACGTAAGCCAGGAAAGTCTGATGATCCCAAATAGCTGTGTGGGTCGCTTAGTTGTTAGTTTGTGGGTCTTGTGGTTCACTCCAGCAAGACACACTGCAGCCAGACTCCAGTGCTCCCACCCCCCAGCAGGACCCACGCAGCAGTTTTCATACCCTAGGGAGGAGCTCAGACTGAGCAGACGGATCCAAGGAGCAGAGGCTTACAGGGTACAGGATAAAGGACTCACAGAGTTTCATAAGATGCATAAAATTTCCATCCCAAATGACCTCCCAATAACTGATTAGTGCCCAGCCTGCAAAGGAAGGGAATTCTAATAGGGAAGTTGTAGTAATACAGGGGAGTCCAAGGTTAAAGCTATCAGTAAACAACAGTAAACCCAGAAATAACAAAAAAAAAATATACAGTTGGTTTTACTTCTTTTCCTTTAGTTGTCTTCCCATTTAACTACCATCATTGCAAATGAGAGCCTGATTTGTAAACAGTGCCTGCTGTGGCAGCAGATTTAAGCACTGCCTAAGGGCCCTGTGCAAGAACTTGGAGAGAGACCACAACAAACTTGAAGTTATAGGAAAAAAACTCATCAACGCTGGAGCTGACACCTTTTCCTCAGCTGGATTACATTTCCTGGAATTTCAAGGGAACAATTTGACTAAAGGAACACTCTGCAGTGGGGATTACAAGATGGACATCAACATTATTATGCAAAATATTTATTCCCCTAAAAACCATAAAATACAGAGAAAAATCTATCTTCAATATGAAATACTATGCCTTAAAGAAACAACCACACATATACAAACATAATAATTTCTTCTCAGTTTATATATAAGTAGCTAATTTTCTCTTGATCTTTTAGCAAAGTGCCCTTACACACTCTGGAGAATTATTTGACATCTCAGTTTTCGTAACAAAAGCTTACAGGCACTGAGGGACTTTGTTTGGGAAGAGCTCTAACCATTCTAAAATGTCTCTAGAGATGTCTCTAGTGTGTTTCTTAGCAGTGGTGATTGAATAAAATGCTGCCCAAAGGAGGCTGAACTGCAAGTGTTCCTTTAAAAACCGATGGAGCTGAAAATTGTTGTTGCTTAGTTCACCACATGCTCTTTTACCCTCCTTCAGCTGAGCTCTACTACAGCCATGTGTTTTATCTACTACCCTCTTTGGCAAGTTCTTCAGCCTGAAATATTTCCAGTACAAAAAGCAGGAAAAAGCATGAGCATTTATCAGTGCTCCTCCACAGTCATTAAGTACTCAAACAACATTAACAAAGAAATTTCTATATCCTGTAAATACAAATGCCATTTAAAATTTATCCCAAGTCTCCCTGCCAAAGCATTCAATCCAAAGCTTGAGAGAGCACTCATATTAAATAAATCTAAACCTACATACAGAACTGGAGATTCAATCTATGCCTTCATCTTAACATCCATGAGCGAGCTCATGTGTATCAGCAGACCCTTCCATATCAGTAATGCAAGAAGGAGAAAGGGTCCAAAAGCTTTTATTGCTTCTCTATTTCCTGTATTTTTTTATTATTTCACTATTAGTGACAAAACTCCATTTATTTGAGATATATATATATATATATTATACAACTTGTCTTTAACCACCCCTCTGCTTCAATATAACCAAAAATATCTTCCCTGCTTTCAGTGCTGCTGTTAAAACAAAAGGTTAATCAGAACTTAAAAAGACTGCAATCACAGAATCAAGGCCAAACACTAACAATTCTTTTCAACAACACAGATTATGATCAGAGTCATCAGAAGGGCAGAGAGAATTTTCTAGGGTAAGAAATCCTGCCTATAACATCTGTGTTTTAGCGCCATCCCTCCAGCCCAGGTTCCTTGTGGCAAATGCCGCATGAATGAGTTCTGGACAATTCACAGGTAACCCTCACACAGGCTGAGGATGTGGGAGGGATGTTTCAAGAGTGACAACGTACACACAGTTAGCAATCGCTGTTGTTCTTTTCCTGACAATACTTGAGGATGCAGGACATGATCTAGGTCTGAGCTATGAGAGTTGTGTTCCAAAGGAAACCTAAAAACATTCAGAGAAGTTACCACCATTTCGTTTTCCCTCCTTCTTTATCTCACTGTTTCCAAATACTGTCTTTATCCCTACTGACTGAGGTAGAAGCTTCATCTGTGATTGTAAAAGTAGATCTACTTCCCTTTAAAATCAGGAACAAGACAGGTCAAACTGGACCTTCTTCCTGACTCTAGAAGTTACTGGTAACAATTATTAATCACATTAAAACCATTTAGCCCAGCTGCAGGGACCCAGAGCAAAAGAAAGCGACAGATCTCAGAAACTCATGCTTAATAGGAGGTGACAAGGTAGCAGAACCTTTAAAAGACTCACCATCATCCTCCAGAGACCACTGGCCTAGTTTTTAAAAATCTACAAATACTCCTGGTGACCTAGTCACTGCCAGGAGCACGGAAAGGGTTCACTTGTTGGTCCACAGGGAATGCGACATTACCTACATGAACACACAGCTAGGAAAGGGCAGATCTGCAAATCATTCATCGGCATGTTTAATTAATCAATCAGGAAGAATCTCTAACTAAAGACCAACACTCACCGGAAAGTTTTGACAAGATTTTTCAGCTCTGTGTAAACATCACCTGGAGCAATCTGAAGAGGGCCCAAAACTGCAGGTAATCTAGGGGGCAAAAGACACCAGTCAATGTGCATTTTCTTCTCTTTCTTATTTCTTCTCAAGTAGGACTTCTGCCAAAGCTTATCAAAATTAGCAAAAAGAGTGACTTTTGTGCAGTAGATCAGGCTGTAGTTTTTATTGCAGGTTCTTCTGAGCAGTGTTTGGGCCACCACTGTCACTTCACAATGGCTTGTTTTTAAAAATAAGCTCTAGTTCAGAGTGAATGTAAAGAAGAAATACAATATAATTTAAATATAGTTCTACCTACATTTTCTTACTCATTTCACATTTCAGTTCTGACAAGATATTCTTACAATTATGAGGCCTGGAACTACAGGTCTTATAAATTTTTCAAAGGTTTATATTTACGTTGGTTCAAAAATAACAATACAAAAGGAAACGACATGTCTGAGGTTCACACACAGAATATACCTGCTAACCTCAGACTTGCACAGATGCAACAGAAATATCACTCCACTGTGAGCCTGATAGTTGAAACCAAGATGACAGTAATCAGAAAATTTCAAAAGAGAGAAAAACACAAGTTTCTCCCTTACCTGACTGCATAAAAACTGATAGAGCACACACACCGTGCATAATGTTTAACTAGTTGTCAGTATTCCCAAATGATGGAAATAAAATGCATTGTTTTTCACATTTAGGATTAAAATTTTGCCTCTGTTTACTCGTTTAATAGTTAATATCCTCTTGCATTTGAATTTCCAGTTATTCACATTCATATGCACCCAGTGCATGGTGCATCAGTACCACTGGAAGAATCGAGATTTCTGTTCTGTACTTCACTGCATGTTTTACAGAAACTGAACACAGGACTCTTATGATGCTGGGGATATCCCCTGCTTTATCACAATGAAAACTGTGACAGGATCACTGCATCACCTCAGAAAATATAAAACAATCCACACAGGCAAGACACTTACGGGATGGTTTGAGTCCATGATTGTTGCCTATCCACACATGTTGCAGGTAGAGAAAAACAGAAAGGGGTTTTTCTTTTATTTTGGGGGGGGAAGTCTTGGTTGTGGGGTGTTTTAGTTTATAAAAAAAAAAAAGCTTCTGCAAAACCTAGTTTGGCTAGCTAACACCAACTACAGGAAAAGTAAATACCCCTAACAAAAATCACGACCTTCAAAGACTCAATTATCTGCATTGCCTTAACAATGAGAATATTTTCAAGGTCCTCTCAACTTTGACAATTTAGTAATTCTAACAGCTACAACAGAAACGCCTTAATTTATTTTCTGGGACTCCAAAGCCCTTTTATGTATATGAAAAAGGTCTGATGTTCAGGAAGTTTTAAGATTCAACTTTGAGGGCCTTTAATGCTTGTAGTACAGGGGCATACCGATATCAGCCATCCAAACATGGACTAGAAACTCTTTTAGTAGGACCTTTACTTAAAGGATTACGAGATTTGAAAACGTACTTTTTTTTTACTGGTAATAGTATGCTTAATGTACAAGACAAATATCTGCACTCCTCCCAGTCAAGTTTTTCAGTTTGAAATTGAGCAGTTGGTACGTGCAGACTGTGCAAAATGACGTCTGCAACTGTACCACTGGTGACTGTCGCAGAAATAAATAACTGTACAGGTGACTGTGGCAGAAATAAATAAGTGCTTTTGGGCAATATTGGGTTTAAGTTCTGACTAAGGCCACCCAGAAAAAGCCAGGCCCATCCTTGGACAGCGTGTTTGTTACTTAAAATGTTGATGAAGGAGCACCAACTTCAGACTGACATTTAACAAAGTAAAAAATACTTACGCTTTTCTCAGTTTTTCAAGGACGATTCGCTTTCTGATCTGCATTTGTGCATTTGAATCAACAAGTGGGAAGGTGAGATCTTCGTGTTGATCATCCTGTGTTAAACAAAGCACCTTAGCAGCTATAACCTAGCATTTAATTAAAGTCTATGCATCAAGATAGTCACAGATTATCAATAAATGTTTAAACATAAGGCTGTTCTTATCTCTGAATACAAAAAAACCCCAAACTGTAAATTTTTAATGGACAGAAGCTTGCATAACCTGACTCAACATACAGTGTGCAGCCAGCATACTTTTCTCCTTCCGTGTGTGAGACACTTACCCACTTAGGATGGCAGAAACAAAGTAATAATTCTTTGAAGGCCTATTCAGGCTTCACACAGTTTCCAAACTATTCCACTGCACACTTACTTTGTCTGTGCTTGGATGTTCCTCTTCCTGTGCATGTGTCGCTGCCTCTTCAGCCAAGACGCACCTCCCTTTATAGAACTCTTTCACTCGGAGTTCTAGGAACTCCGTTTCTTCTTTTAACTTTTCGTAACTAGGCACAGGCTTCACTACTCCACCTGCGCCTGTGAAAGGTAAGGAATAATTCAAGCTGTTTTCGGACTCTCTTACAGCAACAGCGCTAAGATCATCAGCTGTATCTAAGTCATCCTCATCAAGTTCTTCAGTCTCCTGGCTGGCAGGTGCTACGCACTCTGATGAGCACAAAGAAGTATAGTTTGGGCCATAGAGAAATTTTAAAGTTTCCTCAGTTCTCCATTCCGTAAGCGTGTGCCTAAGCACTTCCAGTAAACTGCCTTTGGGATTAACTGGATTCCTCAGTTCATGTTTTCTATATTCTGTTGAGTTAGCTAGTGTTCTTCTAAGATGTTCTGCCCCTCTTTTGCTCACACCTAGAAAAACTATTTGTGAACCATAGGTATTTTCACAGACTTCTGAAGCACCTGATTTCCCTAGAGTAGTATTTTTTGAAGGTGATGCAGTTACTTCATTATGAACAGAGCAAGCATGCACTTCTTCCTGAGCGTCTAATTTACAACGAGAGAGTTGTTCAGTGGCTTCTACCACATCTGAATCTTCAGTTTTAGGGCTGGGAGAGACTTTCTGAGCATGCTTTTTTTTGAGGATGCCTTTTCTGGGCAATTGCTGTGCAAAATTGGCTGAACTTGACTGACTTCCTGGTAGGACAGATGAAATAAATTCTTGCTCATTATCGCTGCTGCTGTCACTGGCTGTGCCGTGAGAACCAGCTTCACATGGCTCTGAAGGTATCCCAGGATTTTCAATGTCAGACGCTTTAATTACTTCATCCCGTAGTTTCACCTCTTCTCCAGACCGTCCACTGTAACAGAAAACACCAGCTATCAACGAAACAAGAAAGGGGTGTTACCTGCAGTAGCTTTTCATTCTCATGTAAGAATGATAAACAAAGCATTTTTCCCCTTATAGAAGAAGAGTGATTTTTTGCTTTAAGAATCATAGGTGCTCTTCTAAAACTCTTCTTGAACTCGGAGTTGTTCTACAATCTACTGTTCTACAACCAAGATGACAAGAATAGAGACTATTTGAAGAAGTGAGTTCTCAGCTGATTACTGTCAGTTAGAAAAGTAAATAAAATATTATTAAGGACAGTAAAATAATATCAGACTTAGCAAGATGAATAGTGACATTTTAAAATGAAGACAGGCATGTTAAAATAAATAGGAATATAGTACCCTAAAATCAGAGAGACAGCAGAGCCGTTTGACCATATGTAAGTTTGCCACCTAACAGCCACGGGTTGCAAAAGAAAACAAACAAAAAGTCACAATACACAGGGAGGTACAGAGAGATGACAGAGTGGTGTGATTTCATTTTGGCTGATACAGACATTTTAGATTAAGAAGTACAGAAGCTTTCATCACATGTAATTGGCACAATTTTCTTCATAAAGAATAGATGGCATAAAATATGCAAAATACAAACAGTGTATTTGTTTCAGATTTCAACAGGCTCAATTAAGACACACAATCCAAGAGCAGCTGTACACTAAATCATACAGATCAAATATGCTGGGTTAGAATCACAAAGTTAAAAAAACGTTGTGTAGGTTCTAATAAGGTCTTTTCTACAATACAGGAAATCAAAGATTCCCGTTTCACCTGACATGATACTAAAATTAAAAAAAATATATTAAAAAAAGCATATAAAAATATTTTAAAAATATGCATATAAAAAAATAAAATTGATCAGTGTACCTCTGTCCCTCCTTCAGCAGCTCTATGTCTGGTGGTCTGCAAAAAGAAGACACAGAATGAAGATTATCCTGCTGAATCAATTCTCTTCAAATACACATAAATACAAATAACTGAGTTTGGAAGAGGCACCTGAGGACCCTGTGGTGCAACACCCACTGTTCAGAGCAAGGCCATGAGAGCAGGTTTCTGCACATGTGTTCACAGAGAGGGACTGGTGTGCCTGCAGCACCAGGCTCTTACAGTGAACAACACTGAACACAATCAGCAAGTCGCACCAGTGTTAGTCAGAAAGGACCTCTGGAAGGCTCTAGTCTGACCTCCTGCTTGTGATGCAACTGTCACCAGCAGCAGGTTTGATCAGCCACAAATTCATGAAGCTTAAATCTTGAAAACCTCCAGTGATGGAGGAAATAGGATACTACTTCCTAGGACTGTGAAAATGAGCTCACACCTATACATTCAGCTAGTTTCTTTTGCTGAAAACAAGGAGATTATGAAAAGTAGTGTCTCGGAGAATGAAAGTTGAATGAATTCAGCAGAACATTCTCTGTGCAAGTCCTTATTGTTCAACAGTGACACCCATTGGCTCCACTCATTATTGCAAGCCTGTGTTTCCTTTGCTAGGAACAGATTGCATTACACTGTTCCAAAATGTGTATTGCAGGAACAACATGAAATGGGTAATCTGAAATTCACACAGGAAAAAGAAACTCTTCATGGTATAGCCTGCTTTCAGATGCAAGCATTCACAGTCTAAGCTGAAGACCAATGCCAAGTGCTGTGCTAAGGGTGACCAAAACATGCTCAAGTCTACTAAGCAGGTGTGAGTAGCACTGAGCCATGACAATTACTGTAACCCATATGGCAACAACACTTTTGAAATGAACACTGTGCTAAGCTACACTGTAACATCAGTTACCTCTGCTTCAGTCAAATCATTTTGATGCACTTCAGCTAATTAATTAGCATTGCAGCTTGCACAGAGAAGTAATATTCTCCAAAAGAGCAATGAATGCATAAGATTATACTTACTTGTCTTCTTCTCTCATCCATACTGGACTTTTAGAAATTTGAGCTTCGAAATATTTGGATGCTCTATAGCAAAAGTTGCTGCAAAAGCACTAGAAATTTAAAAAATTAAAGAAAGCAAAAAAAAATGGCTAAACCAAACTTCAATACTCATAGAAAGGTACAAAAGTAATTGGTTTTTATGCCTGTAAAATTAAGTACCAATTCATATTTCTTTTCAAGACCATGAGCAGGTTTTTAATACATCTGAGAAACCAAACGTATCAAATAGGTCTATCCCATTCCCCACAAGCCACTTTTTTCTACTTTTTCCACATTTTTCTGCTTTTTCTACTTTCATTACATACTGAGAAGCAAACCAGTGTTGAGTTCTACATAACAATAATTAAAAAAACCCCAACAAACTGTTCAAAGACCAAGCCATAACCCAGCACGGTCATACAGTTTAGAAGACATGCACTTAATAATGAAAAGACAGGTGTTTAATAATCAAAATTTTGGTCAGCAACAGAACTTGGTTTTTTGCAATATTTGGAACAACACCTAAAATTTTGCAGCATCTTTGAAAAAATGACTTGCACATTTGCATCACAAGGGAAGAAGACAAAGCATCCCACTTCTTCTCAGAGTCTTGCCTGGTTGCCTGAAAAAGTAATTCCTAGAATTTCATGTATGGTGGAGTTGTAACCAGAGGAAAGGAAGGGATACTAGTGACACTGAAGAAATTTGCTCTGTAACTGGAAACATTTATCTTACAATTTAGTGTCTAAACATGTGCAGGTGACTGCATATCCTGTGAAGTGGCAAAGATGACTTTTATACAACCCTGTGTCACAAATGTCTTTCACAGATCAGCTGTACCACATTCAAACTGCTAGCCAAGCAAAATTTTCCATGTTATGTTTAAATATAGAAAATATGTGGGGTTTTTTGTTTTACCAAAGACAGCACCTGGAAACTGAAATGCACAAAAACTTTCTGCTCGTGAAAATGATTTCTGTAAGAACCAAACACATTGGCTCTAAATCAAAGCCACTATATGAATGCTGTTACAAAATGCATTTCTGATGTTGCAACTATTAAATACATTCTAGAAACAAACTTGTTACCATACCTTTCTTTCAGTGATATCATAAACTCTGTTAGTTTTTGTTGAAATCTTGTACTTCTGCTTTGGCACCTAAAACAGAATGTTTTCACCAACAAGACTGTTACTTCCATGGTGACTACACAGAAAACTTCATTCTTAAGTGTAATATGTCCTGTTTTAACTGAATTGTATACTACAACCATCTTTTCTCTCAATTCTGATGTTGTACCTTCTCAGCTGTAAGAACCACAATTTATCTTCAATCACATACATCTCACTACCAGTAGAAGACAACTTTAGATCTACAAGGAAGTCAGTGCTGAATATAAATCAACAGAGCTGCCATGGCAGACACTTTCCTCATGTAAGTGCTGAGCAATTACAGACAGGTCCCTCCTCAATTCATGACATACATTTTTACAGCAGATGTAGATGTATTCACATAATAATATTCCTGCATTGTACTACTTTTTCTCTTTGATCCTTCTCACAGACACTTGTGGCTATACTGACAAAAGAACAAGATTAGAAAATTTTCTCATGCACAAAGGAAGTCCATGAAGCCCTAACTCATTGATCTTTATCACTGTCAAAGCAGATGCTAACTCATTTTGCCATGCAGTAACTGTTGCCTACTGATCAAATTTTACCTCTCACTTCAGAAGGATTATACTGAAATGGAGTGATATGATGCCTACCCCATTACTTGGCAGTATTTTAGTCCTTATAAAGAAAATGCAAGAGAATCAAAATTGTGAAGAGATTCTTATAATAACAGCATTAATGAAAAGCAACTTACATTTTCCAGTTTATTTTGACATAGAGGATAACCACACAGTTTGATGATAGACCGTTCATCAACAACGTCTTTATAGTGAGATGGAGTAATACACTTTCCCTAAAATGACAAGAAAATACTTCAACAGCAGAAACTGGAAAATACGTCATTTTTTGTACTCAAGACATCTCATAAGCAAGTAAGTATTTTAAATTTTATAAGTTATCTAGTAAATTTAATAAACAACATTTAAAACCTACACAGTAAAAATTATAAAAGGGTAAACAGAAAGAAGACAGACATGGGCACTTCTTTTTACATATACATGAGCTTCATAATTTTCCTCTATTTATATGTTTTGTACACCTATTTACCAGCTTTTTTACTGGAATTAACATTTATTATTCCTTAACAGGAATAATCATACCATTCCAGCAAAACTGTGCTGCCAGATAAACTGTGGCGCATTTATAGAAACTTTGCCTAAATTCACAGATGATGTGATGTAGACCTAAATATTTATACTTCACCTACCAGAACCACAGAGGTATATAAAAAGGCTATGATAATAGAGTGAGGATTCATAAATGTATACAGTCCTGCAAAACTAGGGCATGTTTTCACTGCAGAACCCTTGAAAACAAGGCAATCATCATCAGCTCACGAGAGAGGCAAGCAATGGTTTGTCTTTTTTAAACTGCAGTAAATTGTTCCAAGAACTTTGGAAAAAAAAAAGAAGCACACTAAGATACAAAACAGTACAAAACCGTGCAACACCTACAGAATTTAGAAGGAACTCTTCAGTAATGTTCTCCTCCAGGAGCTGTTCAACAATAGACAACGCCTTTTTCTCAAATTCAATCTTCTTTCTCAAAGCAGCTTCCAGAGCCGCTTTCCTATAACAGAACAAACACTGAATGACACAGAGGGCAGATTTTCATAAACAAATTTCCAATCATATCTTTATCTTTTTCCTGAAATACAGTAGCTTACACTTTTCTGCATCACACCATGTCAGCCAAACAAAGCAACAAGTAATTGGACCAGTAATTCTGTTATAACCACAAAGGAATTTCCAACCTTGGTTTGTTTTATTTCCACCCTGATCAGGAAAAGTATTGACTCTAATTGCTTTGTAATACATCACTCAAGGTGGCCCTACTCTTCTTGCAAGAGGGAAACCAAGAACTGGCTGGTGAAAGAGCTTGGGACACACAATTTATGGAGTGTTTTTAAGGGAATAGGAGCTGGATAAGACGTGAAGAGTGGGAAGAAAAAAGAACATGATTGCGTGTGAGGTTACAAAGTAAAAGAAAGAATAAGTCAAACAAATGCTACTACACTAGATTTCCTGAGTGCTTTTTAATGTGAGTAAGTGTAAAGAAGTTAGGATGGCAAAAAGCAAGCATTAAAAGGAAATGCAATTGTGCAGGTTGGATTCATAAACTTTTAGTATATTATACAATGCACCTATGTGTGTGCTGTTAGGAGTTACACAGCATCACTCCAAACAAGCCTGCACAATGTTGATGCTGCTGATCTCCTGAAGGTAGTCACGGTACTCTGAGAAAGACGAAAGACATGCAAGGCAGAGAATGCAATTTCAAAGTGAGGTAAAATGACACAAACATCACTTTTTGTTAGTCAGAAACTATACCTCTGAGCAGCATCTTCATTCTTTGGAGCAGCTGAACGCTTATTTCCTATAAATCAAATATAAAAATGCAGAAATATAGAAGTTAGTGTACTTTCCTTAATACTGGAAAATACGGGAAGATGAAAAATATTAAAACCTCTAAACTCTAAACCTCTAAAAGCGTAATCAAGACAACTGCTTAGAAACCTGATTTGATGGCCATGACTTCAGCAGCTAGTGTTGCTTAGACACGAGTGTGAGGACAGGCAGGCCCAACACCTCCCATACATTCACCATGTTCTGTATACTCAAAGAGCTACGGGAAGAATAATTCTGACAGCAATTTTGTGCCAACCACCCCCGCCCCGGCTCTCCGGCGCGGCGTTATCCCCGCACCGCCCTGTCCTCTCGGCGGCCCCACCGCTGGGTTTGCTCCGAGCGGGGAGCGGCGCCGGCACTCACTGCCACAGAGCCGCCACTGCCACGGCCGCCCTCGCTGCCCCGGCCCGACCCCCACGGGCGGTGACACCGGGGCTTGGGCTCCGCTGAGATAAGGGCAGCGGGGAGGGGAGATGCCGGGGTGTTATGCTTCGAACACAAGGGCGCAGCGCTCGAACCCGCTGCACGACCGCTGTCGCGGGCCGGGGCGGGCGGTCCCGGCACAGCCCGAGGGGACGGCGGGTCCCGGACCCGCCTCGCCCGTCCCGCCGCCGATCGCGCCACGCACCCGGCCCGGCCGAGGCCCACCAAGCCGTCCCGCCGCTCCCCCCGCCACAGCGAGTTGGGCGAGTCCGCCGCTGTGCCGCCCTGAGGGCACAGGGAGAGCCCAAGGCGCCAGGCGGGGGGAGGAGGGGCGGGCGCGCGGAGCCCGGAGCCCACCTGCGCGGCGCCGGCGGGGCTTGCCCGTGCCGGCCGCCATCGCCGCCATCGCAGCCCCGCCCGCCGACCTCTCACCCGGGGCGGAGCCGGGCTGGGAGAGGCGGTGGCGGAGCTCGGGGCTTCGGCCGGACGGGGCTGAGGTGCGGGCTGCTCTGTGGTTTTTAATTTACCCGCGTGTTACGGGCTGAGGCCGGCAGGCTCAGTGTTGTACCGTCTAGGGAAGGGGCTGGGGTGTATGTTTATGGGGAGGGAGTTTGGTGAGTATTAATAGAACGTTTCACATGATCCAGATTCTGCCCACTTGCCGCTGAAACCTCCGAAAAGATTTAGTTAGAAACCGGATTAAGTATTAAGGCCGGAGACATCTGGGAGCTGGGCCGGTAAATCCCTGGAGCAGCGCGGTGGGTGTTCGGAGCAGTCCCAAGGCTGTAAGTACCTTGTAAAGTTACTCAGGGGTGAAAATGCAACAGTATTTGCGTTCGAAAGAACATTTACATTGTTCTGGAAGGATTAGTAACATTCTGTGAAATAAAGAGCTCAATTAGTCCAGCATGTAGTAATAAAGTATGTGGTAATGACCAAGTGAAAATGACAAGCGAGATACAATGGATAGGTTTCAGCGACATAAAATGTTAAATCATGCCGAATAGAATAGAAAGGGAGTTGTTTATTCTTTGAATAACTAAGGTCACACCCAGATGCTTTTTGAGCTTTCATGAATTGCACCCTTTGTGTAATCATCCAGATAGATTATTATCCTGGTCTGATGTAGCTTAGGTTAAACATAAGAGGAAAAGTTGAGGACCTTATGTGGAGATGCTGTGTTTTGATGAATAGATAGCTAATTAACCAGATATAGGGCTAATTGACATTCAGAGTGATCCTATAACCAGGTTTAGTCCCGTGGCATTACTTGAAACTATAAAGATTGTGACTGTTGCTATGATGTATCACATGGGATAACCAAGTTTGATTTTATTTGTAATTTGTGGTCCTAGCTATGTAAAACTTTCTGTGTACTTAACATTGCTCAAATGTTTAACTTTGTTGCTTTTAGTAAGAAAGGTTTGAATTATAGTACATAGAGGTAAAAGGCTGCTGAACCACCCCAACTAAACACTAGAAAGAAGTAAATTATTTCTAATGGTGATTGGACTGTTTGTATAAACTGCCATGGAAGTTTCATCAGCTGTGCACATCCCAGACACAGGGTTAGAGTGTTCCAGTCAGGGCTGAGCAGGAGCTCCTCTGCTCAGATCTTAGTCCCAGGAAGTGTAGTGTGTCAAGGCATGCAGACTCTCTCTGGATTACCTGCGGTTTTCAATGTATGTGCCCGAAGTAGTAGCTAAAGCCTCCAAACTTCTTAAACGACCCAGGTAATACTTGAAAAATTGCTTACCTGTACATAGAATGCAGGTTGTTTCCTGACTGTAATACTATCTCCTGCAAATATGGGGAGTAGAATAATTTAGTATATGCTTCCTAAAAATGCATTTTCCCTTGTTTTTTAATCACGTAGTCTTCTTAATATCTGCCTAGGTTGTTCTTATTCCTCATATAAAATAATTATAATGTAATTATTAATTCCATATATAAGTTAATTATAATGTAATTATTTTTCAGCATCAATTTTAAATTCATGTGATATAATACTGCACTCTTTATAATAGTTTTTGATGCCAGAAGAACGCAGTCAAACTACAATGGCAGTTGACGAACTTCAAGCCATAATACAAAGATGTGTAAGTAGTTTTCTTTCCTTAAAAGTAACAAATGTAAGCAGTGTGCGTTTCTCTTCATATATTATAAGTAAAACCAAATGACCTCAAAGCTAAGACAGTTGTTAGCAGAGTTCCTCATTGGGCAGCTAAGTTCAGCCTCCACGTTTCATTGACTTCTCTGTGGTGCTTATCCCAAGATGCTTGAAACCTTCTGCTTCTTGGAGAAAGAAGTGTTCTTGTCCCCAGGAACAAAAGCAGGTTATTGTACAAAATATATTTTCCAAACAGTATACTGTAGTCTACACTTAAAAAGTGCTGTTGAAATACTGCTTTGTCTTCTGAGTTAACTCTCAGTAGCTTTTTTAACATGTGAAAAATGTATATAAGTTACAACATTTGATTTTGAAATGAAAGCATGTATTTTCTTATTTGACTTTTATAAGCAGGGAGTTAAACGTCCATATTTTCATTCTAGCAAATTCTGGAAGAAGCTGATTTCAAAGGAGAAGATTTTAATCTGTTTCTGGTGGCAGGTCAGAAATGTTTAGAAGATGGATATGCAGCTCAGTTATTAGAAGTAATTCAAAATGAGAAAAATAAGGTGAGTTTAAGTTTACAGTCTATTAGTTGTGCATTAACACAAATAGAAAAAACTGCTTATTAAGAAGGGAAAGCTACTTTCACTGTGAAACGAGGCTGTACTTATGAATAGCTAATAAGCTGCTCTGTGTTAAGTGCACATTATTCTGTAATTTAGGTAGAAAATACAAATCATGGTAATCTTAACAAAACCACTGATAATTGTTTTTCAGTAAGTGATGCAAAGAGAAAAGGAAGGGCAGAAGCATACGTAGGAGAAGCTGACAGTGTCCCTCTTTAGCAGGACAGGGATTTCAGATGGTGTACTGGATCTGGCTGCCATGGAGTTGACTTTCTTCATGGCAGCCTGCACAGGGCTATGTTTTAGATTTGTGACCGAAACAGTGTTGATAACACACCAGTGTTTCAGCGATTGCTGAGCAGTGCTTGTACAGCACCACAGCCTTCTGTTTCTGACTCTGCCCCATCAGTAAGCAGGGAAGCTGGGAGGGGACACAGCTGGGAGAGCTGACCCAAACTGCTGAGATATTCCATACCATATAACATCATGCTCAGCAATAAGATTCTTACCCCATCCCACTGAGGGGTGAGAGTGAGCAAGCAGCTGGCGGGTGCTTAGTTGCTCTCTGGGACCAGCCCACCCCAGATGGATATAATAATTATGGCCAAAATTGTAAGAGCCAACTAAGCTGATGCTCCTTGAAGAGATATTAGTGTCTGTGGGCACTTGGGGAGCTGGGAGAGTATACCAAATTGTACAGAGATATGAGGGATGGAATATTGTGAGCAGTGTTACGTGGGGTTTGCAGTCTGGTTTTGAATTTCGTGAGTTTGGAGTAACCGCTGAAGATCTCAATCCCTTCAGGTTAAGCATAATTTGTGCAAGGACTCTTTCAGCAAAATTTCTCTGCTCAGTCCTGCTTTAAATGTATTGTCATAGACATTTAGAAGTATATATTGACATGTTAATGGTAATAAATTGGAAAAAACCTATACAAAATATGCAACTGTATTTATAGGTATAGGGAGAGAATACAATGTAGGTCAAATACAGAACTTTATGGTTCTAGTTGTTAAATTGTCACTGACAGTGACAGTTAATGGTGTTGATTACAACCAGGAGATTGATCTGTTATCTCTTTTGTTCTTTATATATACAATCTTTATGGGCTTGAAAGACATACAGTTTTGTTTTATTCTCTGAAAATCTGGTTTTTAGGTTATCATCAAGAATATGGGTTGGAATCTCATCTCTCCTCTTGTTAGATGTATTTTCATGTATAAGCAAGAAGATGATAAGCGAGAACACTGCCTGAGGATACTGGATCAGTTGGCACAGGTATGGTTTTGAAATATAGGATTATAATACAAGAATAATAGGGAAGAGAGAAGTCCTAATTTCCCCTCACCAATTTACAAAGAAAACAAGGCATGAATATTTCTGTGTTCTTTGTATTTCCCATAACTTTTAAACTCATGGGCCAATTTCATCTGAAGCAGACAGAGGCTTAGTGTTCTCAGAGATAATTAACGTCTTACACATCTGAAATTAGTAACTGGGCAAAACAGAGACAAGGCATTACCCAGAAGAAGGCAGCATTTAGCTGCCTCTCAAAATTCTTAATAGCAAACTGCTGCAGTCAAAGCAGCCACAGCTAAACTGCCACTTACCTACTGCAAATACATATTGTTGTTCCTGCAAAATGAGATATTTCAGCCAGTATGCAAAGCCAAAAGACACACAGGAGGGAGGGATTTGATTTAGTTACAGTTCTGCACAGAAAGGAGTGCTGGATCATTAATCCACAAAGCTGGCACACCAAAGGCCAAATATACAAATGTATTTATACAGTTTGTTTCAAACAATATTTGCATAATGGATCTACATCAGTAGTTGGATAAGCTGCTCTTGGCAGCTTATTCTCTGGCCTTGATTTAAAGGTACAGGGTATTCAGAGTTCATGGTGCATGTTTAGTGGGCAGGGCTCTCCGTTTGCAGGTGGGCAGCCTCAGCTTCAGAGGTGTGGTTTTCACATCATGACGAGTTAAGCTCATCTAAAGGACACAATTTTAGCTGAGGTAGCTAACTTGAGGTCCTCTCTTGCAGATATGCAACCCAAAGGAATTGTTTCTGGGTTTACTTGAGCAAATTGAGCAGACCTCTGGAGATCAGGTGTGTCAAACTGTCATGTTATTGCTTCAGCCTTTACAGACAGGTAAGACTCAGCTTATCATACAATTTCTGAAGTATTTTCTCATTTATTATCAGTTTAGCCTTTGCTGGAATGGTTTGAGAATATGCCTGTGCTGACAAACTTTACAGTCTTATATTCTACAAAATAACACAAGATATTACTTTTCTACTTATATTGACCTGCTAGAAAAATATTTTAGATGGTATTAATAGTATCAGTTGAAAAAGTAATATTCAGCTATTTCTTATCAGTTACGAGAATTTGGTGTAAAGCACTCATACTATTGTTACAGAAATAGAGAATTAAATGGATTTGTGAAATTCTTCATTATTTGACTTTTAAAACATACAGTTTCATATTTTTATAGTACAAAACTTTCATTTCAGTTGAAGTACACTGAAATATTTTATTGGTGAGGGGGAAGCATTATTCTGGCTTACATACGAGAATTAAAAATGTTGGATTTGGACACCCTCTAAGTAGGTAGCAAGTGGTAGTTTCTGTTTTGATATGTGAGATGAAACCAAGTCTTGTGTATAAAGCTGAATTCTGACTGTAGCAATCTCTGAGAATTTAACAAGAGACATACATGATTTTTTGGATAGCTAATCTGCAGTTAGCCTGCACTGAGTCCAGTTAAAGTGGAGAGCCCCAGGTGCCGCTTGCTCAGTCTGGGAGTGCCTCTGTTGGTTCTGCCATGGAGTGAAAACCAGTTCCAAGCAGAAAAGCTGGGCACCTTTTTTCCTGTGTCTCTGGTTTTGCCAAGCACAAAAGGAGTCAAGTAATAAACACATTTTCCAGGTCAGATAAATTGGGTATTATTTCATGTAACTCAATTCTGGAAAGGCAGATTTTTTTCAGTCCTCATCAGGGTGCTATGGAGAAAGGAAGAACATTGAAATGCATGATGGCTTTAATATTTGTTATTTGCAAAGACATGGTCATGTTAACTGCAGCACATTAAACTTGCTGAGGATGTTTTGTCTCCTGGATTTGCTCATGTAAGCTCCTTCCCTGAAACTAAATGCTTTCTTATGTAGTCACACTGGTTTTCTTCATGTTTTCCTCTACTAAGTAATAACTTACTGTCTCAAAATCTTCTTTTTCCCCTCTTCTTGTTTTTTTTCCTTTCCCCAGTGCTTTTGAAACTTCAGAACAAGAAGGCTTACTCAGTGGGTTTGTCGTTGGCCATGATCATGAATCAGCTTACTTCCTTACCTGTACCTTACACGAAACAACAAATACAAGAAGACAAACTTGGTCTTTGTCAGTGTTGTAATGCAGTGGTGGACTTTGCTAAACCCTTTGTGAATGAAGTTGTTAAAAATATGGAAAAGTCGTCAGAATACAATGACATGGAGCTGAAAGAAGAATTATTAAAATTGTGAGCGTTTTATGTCAGTGTGATATATTCCTATTTACAAAATGGTCGGTAGGCATTTATTACATAGGCAGTAAATGAATCACCTTTTATAATGCTGTCAACTTACGCTAACTAATGTGGTATTTTGGAAAAGAAGCCCTAAATAGGCCTTATATATTTATGAAGTGAGAGAAGAAAGGTAAAAACTATTTTTTTTTTTTTTTTTAGTACAGAGAAATAGTAAAGAAGTATTAGTTGCTTTACTGTGAAGCTGATTTGGTATTCCTCTGCTTCTCAGATATTCAGCTGTGAGGATAATCATAGTCTGGAGGTGAAGTAAAAGGAATGTTTCTACAGAAGATGTTGGGTTTTTTTAATTCTCTTTGGAATACCAGTAATAGAGCATCTTATGGGTACAGACTTTATTCTTGGTCATCAATGACACTACAATACTCTGTGACCATATTAGTGATTTAGTTTCACCTCTTTTTATTTCAGCTGTATGAAAAGCCTGAAATACCCATTATTGGCAGCTCAACTTGAACAACTTGAAGGCATTGAAGAACATCCTTTTCGGCATTTTGCAACTGAAATTATAGTAAGTGCAGTCAAAATTAATTACAGTGTTTGCAAAACCAGTGCTTTAGTTCAGAATTACCTGTAGTGTGTTCTAGAGCTCATTTTGCTTGCTTTAGTGGTTGGTGGGGTGACTTACTGGTCCTTTAAGATAATGCAGGTAGATAAAGTTCTAGAACTGTTCCAGGTACCATCTGTGGAAATTACAAATCTTCATACGTAGTTTTGCTCCTCGATAAACAAGTTTGCAGTGCTCTCTGAAGCAGCAGTTGCAGCCTTGTTCTAACTGGTTCTTTTTCTTGGTGATGTATGAATTTATTAGACTATCTAAAGGATCATCTTTGCTGCAGTATTGCGGCAAGGTAGAATCTATGTTACCTTTAATCCAAGAGTTGCACAGAGCGAAATCTCTGATGTGCCTGGTGCAGTGCCAGCTGACTGTCAAAGAACCCAAACCGATGCTTGACTAGAGCTGGAATTTCAGTGGGCACATGTCCCTTCCATGCTATCGATGCAGTTACTCTGGTTTTGAATGTTTCACATAGTAGCTGTATTTTATTAGAGCAAAATTAATGTGGGCAAAGGTAATTTAATTCCAATTTGCAGCAAACCCAAGCCTTATGAGGAGATAGTCGGGTACAGTCAATGCACATGTTGGAACACAGACTATGTGTATGTTTTCAGAAATAGGACTAGATGTGATTAATAAAGTTACTGCACATGGAACTGTGCTTTGTTCATGTTTTGAGTATGAAATACAAAGAATATTTCCTTTCTTACACATATCCAAATTAGTGGCTTGACCCCAGCTGGCAGGTAAGCCCCCACCTAGACACTCACTTATGGCCCCCAGCAGAATGGGGAAGAGAATCTGAAAGGCAAAGGCAAGAAAAACTCATGGGTTGAGAACAAGACAGCTTAATGAGGCTGGCTCATGGTGTTATTTGGGAAGGGGATGACACACTAAAACTTGATGGGCTTCAAAAGGAAGGCCTGGAGCTAGCTGGGATGGGGAAAGCACACATAAATACACTATATGTATGCAAATGTGCATGCACACAGAGAAGACCTAGAAGTTGCCTTGTGATGCAAGTGTGTTTTTTCTCTAATTTGTATTTAAAAATCTAAGCATTTTCTTAACAGAATTCTATATTCAGAGGTTAAGATTGTGAAGTGAAGCCCACAAAGCAGTTGCCAAAACTTTGGGTTGGTTTTCAACAAGAAGTTGGAGTTTCCATCATGATTACATCCAGTTTTTTCCCACAGCATGCCTCACCATGGAATGGAAACTGCTGTGTGGATCAGTCAGGTTGTGCAATGAGAGAGAATCTTATTCCCAAAACCTGTACTTCATTTATTGCAGGACTTTTAGGATGTGCAGGAAGGAGGCAGGGATTACCAGAAGGTGATCTCATGGTTAAGATAGTTGAAGGATGCTCTGAAAAACTGGCTTTTTGTCCTGACTTTTCTCTTGGGCACAGTCTGAAACCATGTTTTTAATACTAATTATGAATTAACATTTTGTTTTCTTAAGAAATTTACTTCTGGTATTTATTGGATTGGGTAGTGGGATCTAAAAATCAGGTCAGTAAGTCATGCTTTGGCCCTGTGTGTAATCCTAGTTTTCCAAAACGTGAGATCCTGAATCTTCTGTTTTGGCAACCCTGCAACAGTGAGCTGACCTTTGTCTCGCTGTTTCTTTGCAGTGCATACAATAGGACTCTGCCATGTTAGGAACATTCTTCTAATGGTAGTTAATTTTGCTGCAAGGTTCTTTTTGTGTGCATATGTGTATATATCATAAATATCACATTAATTTATACTGTACAAGAGAATGTACTGTAAATAGAGTTAAAGCTTTGAAACTTAATTGGTATTCAGGTAGTTTAAAGGCAGCTATAGGCAATCTATCATTCTTTTTCAGGACATTTTGTGGAATATAAGAGAATTGATGCCATTAGTGGTTTTACATCATAAAAGCAAAAGTCCGTGCTGGGAGAATCAGGAGTTTGCAGACATAGAGCGAAAGAATTCCGCAGATTCTTTGGCATGTCTGTCATATCTGATGTTTGTTCAGCATTTTGGTATCGAATGCTTTCCAGTGGTTTTTAGGTAAGACCTAATTTTTCTCACTTACTGTAAGTCTGTACTTTGATGATTCTTTCTGAGCAGAAGAGAACTTTATTTGTGAATAGTTATGAATGAAAACTGTGTATTTCACTGGTATTAGTTTTATGTCAGCCTTTATGCATTTATATTTTATGTAGCTTATATTATTTATATAAAGAACATAGCTTTGCAGATAACTCTATTACAGTTTAATTTTAGATGAGCTGTCCTTTTAAAGAAACTGTCAAAGATTAGTCATGTGTTGAAAAGTAATATGTATTAAATGTTCAATTACATATTTATAGACAGTTTTCATGTAAGAATCACCACCCGTGATTTGACGTACAATTTTGTTGTCTATTTCAAAATTTTAGAAAGATATTTTAATTTTTAAAAAATACTAATCCTGTCAAATATATTAATTATGTGCAAACATATATGGCTTATGCAGTTTAATGTAATCTAATTTTTGTCTTTTAGCCCAGCATACCTTCTGCTATGCAATATGACACATATTGAAGTGCTACTGAAAAGGTAGAGTTTGTGGGATTTGCAGGTCTAGGTAATGGGTGTGATCTTTTATAGTAATTCATAGAATCAAATTTCAAATATACCGTATAAGTTCAGAGAAGGTTTTTAAACCTGAGCCTTAAAATGGCAAGTTCCACTACAAGATGCCTTCTTCTACTAAGAAGTTTTTGAAAATATTTATGTATGGTTTTTATCATGTATTGTGATAGCATTTTTAGAAACTTTATTTGGAAAATGCAAAATTCAGGTAGTTTAAACACATGCAGAATAATTAGTGTGTATTTACTTGTACTTCTGTAACAATGATTGTAGTACTAAAGGTGACTATTGTGATATTATTTGAGAGGAGTGATGAAGATACTATATTTAGAAAATAGAATGCAAATTGTTGAGGGACAAGTTCTTGTTGACCTCTGTTCTAATATTTCTTCTGAAATATCAACAGTGTCCATCTACTAAAAAATTTGAATTTGATTTTTTTTTCTAGAACAGAAGAATCTGCATTATCTAAAGGACTTGTAAGTTGTTTTTTTAAATTCAATTTTCATTGTTAGAATGTTTTTTTTTTTCAATTTAAGGAACGGCAAAACTCTTGTTTCCCCTTCTAAGAGAGGTACAAATGATAGTTCAGATAATAGTTCCAGAAATATTTTGAGGCTTACTTAGGTATTCTTCAGTGTTACAAATACTATATTTATTGAACTATACACTCCTGCATAAATGTTTAAATTATATTATAACTGCAGCTCCTGGAAACTTTTGGTATCAGAAGGAGTACTTACAGCTGTGTTAGCCATGAAATGTTAAGCATATGGATTAATGTCTTATATATGTGCATACTATTGCTATTTTTTTTTCCACCTGCAGGATCTGTTTGAGAGCAGTTTATTGAGAATGGAAGATAACAGCCTTCTCCATGACTATTTAGAATTCAGAGATTTTATTAATGTACCTCAGGTAATTAGAAGCAACGTACAGAAGTCCTCAAAGTTTGGTTACAAATAATACCTCGCTGTCCTCTAGGTGTTGGAGAGAGCACATGCTACTGAACCTTGATACACCTGTGTTGTTAAATGGAAACCTTCAGTGTCTTGCTGCACAGAATTGATTGTCTATTCTGCCTGCTGCAACATGAAGCTTCAGTGACAATTCAAATATTCTCAGTGTATGTACGGGTGGTCACTGAAGCAGGTGGGCACAGATCTTAGTTGAGGGCTGGTACTTGCTCGTTTTTTGTCTCCTCCTTGCCCATCTGCTGCTTGACTTCATTCTAATTGGACCCAACAGTACAAGGATTGTATTCTTGTGTATCAGCCCTGGGGTTTTGACCACTGAAGCTCTTGAGAATGTCTCTGATGAGAATCTTCCCATAGTCAAGTGTGCAGTGGGGGTTTGTTTGTTTCTGTTTGTTTGTTTGGACTTTTTAATGTCTTGAGTAGATTTTAGTGTTAATGTAATAATCTGTATGTAAGTAGAAATTACGTTTTCTTTGTCCCACTGCAGGATTTGGTGAAAATTATGACCCTTTGTCCCATGGAGCATCTGGTATGTAAAGTTACCTACAGAATGGGTTAAGTGCTGAATTTATTTAATGAGAATCCATCTGATAACATTTCTGTTTTCTTTAGAGAAAGAAGAGTTTAAGTATTTTGCAGTTGTTCATAGACAAGTTTGACACTCAGGGAAAATATACATTATTCAGGTATGCATCCAAGTTACTGTGTAATATCAGCCTTAGTGCAGCCTAATTACATAGCTGCAGTGATTTCTGACAGTTTCCATCTAGAAGTCACATTAATTTACTTGTTAATTGTTTGATAAATAATGAATTTCAATTGCCTCACATAAAATCACCTGTCTTACGTAAGCCAGTGTTTAAAGGTTACAGTTATACAGATTTCTCTGTGGTAGAACTCCCACTTAGTGAATAAACCCATAATGTCATCAAAGTGTTGAGCTTTGAAGAGATAATATCTTTGTTTTGTTTGTTTGAAGGTGTTTACTGAAGACAAGCAACCATGCTGGTGTGGAAGGATACATTATTAAAAATATAAAAGATCAGATTCACTTATCATTAACGGTGAGGCTGTTACCACTAAAAAACAAGTTACCATCTCAAAATTCTCTCAGTATTGTGTTGAGAAAATGTCTACAGCTTAAACTTTGAGTGATGCATTTAAAAAAATCCACTTTGGAAAGAAACATAAGATTAAGCGATTATATTAAAAGTATTGCTTTGGCTTTTTATATGTGTATTTACATTCTAATTTTATAGTTATATTTTTACTTGCACAATCTTATTATATTTTTTTAAGAAGTTATTATTACTTTTGCTGTGCTTGAAAATACATGTTTCTTTCTTGAAGTGGAACTACTCAGTATTTTGTTTTATCCCCACAGTTCCTAATTTTTTGAATATAATTCAAATCCTACAGTCTAGGCAGAATTAATAATTTTTTCTTGGTTTTTCTGATGAGAGTCAGCATTTTATTATGAGTGCTTTGCAAGCAATAAACTTATCAGAAGGAGTGGAGCTAGATCAAAGCCTTTTAAATATCTTATTTTATAATCATTTATACTGAGAACTTGGGAAAATTAATTAAAACTAAATTATTAACTCTTTTTTTTTTTTTTTTTACTGCTTAGGGCCTTTTCCAAACTAAATTTGATTCTTTAATGTGCTGCCTTTTGTCAAAGAGGACAATTTAGTAAATGTATTCATCTTTTATGCTGGCAAAATTATGTCAGGTGACAGTGAATTACTATTTATTGGATCATAGTCTGTCCTTTATATTGAATCAGCAGGGGTGAACAAGATGAAAACTGTTCCAAAAGGGACTTGCACTAAAATTGAATAAAAGTATATTCTGAAATTTGACATTTAAAAAAACCCAGTGACACTGCTGTTATGAAGGAAGAGTCTCTGATAAAGAAAGTTAATTGTTGCACACCTCAATATAAAAAAAAAGGGTGCCTTCTAAAATTTGCTGTGTTTATGTAAACAAATATTAACTGTATTGATGGTGGTACTCTTTATTATAAAGAGATGGAGAATTTTTTCTGAGGAAATAGAAAAGAATAGCTTGGCATGCAGAGACAAATTGGGGAGGATTATGAGAGGCTACTTTGTGTACTTCAGTCACAGGTAGTAACCAGAAGATACAGCTTCTGGTGTTTGAGGGTTTTTTTGCCTTTTCTTTTTTAGCCAAATTATTGTTCAGTTGTATAAGATTTAAATTTTGCACTCTGCTAAACTTTTTATATTGTTTTTTCAGAAGGAATATGACAACATGTGGTTTACAGGACATCACCTGATCTCCCTTCTAGATTTAGTACTTTCACTTCCAGAGGGTGCTGAGACAGATCTTCTGCAAAACTCAGATAGGTGAGTTGTAATCACAGTTGAAGGCCTTTCTCCTTTTTTTCATCATTTAAAAAGACTTTAAACTACCTTACTACAATGACAGATGCTGTCATGTAACTAATGAGGTGCCAACGTTAATGTATTTTAAATTTTCAGAACTAGAAACGGAAATGATCATTTATTTCCATGAACTCTGCATAGAAGAATGTCACAGTGCTATTACATTGATTTTTAACAATAAAAAAGGATTTCCTCCTCCATTCCCTGAGGCTATAAGACTTCAGATGTGAAATTACCCTAATTAGCAAAGCATTATTTCTTGAGGAATATCTGATTTGTCAGCTTTCTGCAGAAGAGGTTGGAGGAATAAAAGCAATGTGGTATGTTGTCTTATACAAGGCAATAACAACTATGAGATGCAACTTACAGCACACAGTATTTTTGAGGCTGTTTCACAGATTGCTGCTGGGAATCCAGTATCTCATGAGTAGGAATACAGATCCACCTGAACAGTTAATAACTGAAATTAAGAAGTAAAAAAATAACTGAAATACCTCTGAAAATCTCCTATATAGGACAAATCTTATATGATGAGCAATGGTTGGGCTTGTAAATCAGTAAGGTGATGGAGTCCAGATGGACAAAAAGGCAGAAGTATTATCTGTAATTGTACTTTTTTTCTGGAAAAGGCAATAAATAATTTCTGCTAAAAAGTATGGTAAAACAAAAGCAAAAAGCATATTGGAGAAAGCACTCCAAGGTAAAAATCCAATACAGTAGTAAAGAAAACTGTCACATTAGTTTCAAATCAACTTTGGATCACTAGAGGTGCATACTACAAATTCTGTGATAGGATTCTGTCTCTTCAGGGGATTCTTTCTCTCACAATCAGCAGCTTTCTCCAGTCTGATGACAGTTGTTACTTGCAGAGCGTGAACTGTTGCATGGACATCACTGCACACTGGTGCTCTAGACTAAGCTGTATCGCTCAACAGATGAGTGTTTTGTACAAATGGATACTTCTAGGATATCTGGCTAATGAATAATTTAAGTTATTATCCCTGTAATATAAATCTGTGCTCTAGATTATAAATGGTATGTTTTTAATTCACAGGATTATGGCATCACTAAATCTGCTGAGATACTTAGTCATTAAGGATTGTGAAAGTGATAATCAAGTAAGTACTGACTGATTTGAAAATGATTGATTAGCTGAGACCTGAGAGCTGGATTTAAGTCAATACTGTTATCCTTGATTCAGAAAACATGGTTTTTACATTTTTCTTTGCAATGGTTAGTTGTCCAGAAGTGATACTTTTAATTAAAAGCATTAGGAAATATGTAATGTGTTATTTTATTCTGATGAAATTTGTTTGAATTCATATTGTTGCTGTAAACAAGCTAACAATACTCCGCCTCACAAACTGTATCCATAACATTGGAATGTGTCACCATAAAATCACATACCCATCAAGTGTTCCCATGAGAAAAAATTTGTTACTCTTGCTTGTTTATTCGCTGATATCCCTCAAAAGCTCCAAGTGGATTTCTGAATAATAAAAATAATAATAGTTCAAGAGATCCATTTTATTCATCTCTAGGAAAAATACTTCTTGTGCAATATGCTAAAAGGTGTTAGGATTTTTGAGAAAATATTAAAAAATCATATTTAATTTGTTTTTAGCTGTGCAAAACAATATTTCATATTTACAGCAACTGTGCAGGTGCATGATAGGTACATATTAAAAGTTTCTTGAGGTATCAGCATCAAAAAAATTCTTGTCTGTAAGATATATCTGCTGAAGTTACAGAAGGAAAGGCCAGACCCATCCAATTTTCTGCTACATTGCTTTACTGAAAACAGCCTAGAACATTTTATGCACAAAGGTAACCTGCCAGCCTAAACTGCCCACCACTGCAGTTTACCCCTGTTTTTATTACAGCTCTGCCCCTTTACCTTCATTTCCCCGGTGTGTGGATGTTTGACTGTAGATATTTCAGACATACTCTGCAATATATATAAAAAACTGAAACTGTCCTTATGTATTTCACCCATGTAATATTGTGCTGCCCTGGTTTAAAGCAGCAGCTTTAGTTCTAATCCCCACCTCTTTCTTCTCCATTTTGTTTGTGTTTTCTGTCTGAAGCAGTCAGGGACATTTGTTACACTTTGAACTTCTCTACCAGTACTTGTTCTCAACTGCTGTGTGGCTGATCAGGGCAGCATTCCAGGAGGGATCTGTGGATTCATGTGGATTTGAGTACAGTCAGTCCTGTCCACCTGCAGCAGATGGTTCCTAAGTGCTCTGATTTGGGTTGTGTCACTACAGCACTCAAGAGCTGACGGAATCATTTGTGTTTAGTTGTCTGAGGACCTTCCACTACCTAATAGATATTTATTCTAAGAGTAAATGCAGCTTCTGCTGACTCTTTCAAATCGTGTTCCAACAGTCCTCTGTTGCAATTCAGGAGCTCTTTATCCACTATATTGTGGAGTGAACAAGCATCACCTATCTTCTTAGTATTAAATGTTTTGATTTTTGCATTTTAATGCTTGTTTAAATTAGTGACAGTTAAAAGAAAAATTGCTTTTCAGTTTTAAAGTGCAGTAAAGTCTTTCTTGACTTGAATAAGCAATATCATGGTCATATGAGTATTCTAACCAGTAGATAAGTATCCTAAGATGATGTGTTGCTCTCTCTCAGTTCCTTGATTTTCTTTATTGTTTGGACTAATGGATTTCAGCGTGTCATGTTCTGTTTTCTAACATACAGAAAAAAATTCTCATCTCCTTTTAGACTACTTTGAGATCAGGTATACAAGTTTTATAAGTGCCTAATAATGTTATTGGTCTAGACTGAATAATAATAATGTAACTTGCACCGATTGCCAGAACAGTAACAAAAATGGTGCATTTCCAATTTACTATTTATATTATTAGTTAATCTGGATAGACTATGTCTATTTCTCATGTTTAAGGAGCGATTACTATTTAAGTAATCATTATAGTCCACCCAGTTTCATGTAAATACATAGCTTTGTGAGAGAGGTGAGAATTCTTCTTTTATTCTTAATGAAAACTTCCACGTAGTAGCACTGAACTGCTCTAACAGTGCTGTCCTAGTGCCTGGCAAAAAGAATGTCCCTACAGTTTGAGGAGAAAATAGCATCACATCTGAGGGTTTCCTGGCAAAAAGCCTGTCAGTTCTTCTTGGCTTCCTCCGTGTCTCTCTTCGTATAGTGCAAGTGGGGTAGAAAGAAAATGCCTCCCTTCATGTCAGTTCAGATATTTTGACTGCTGTGTAACAAGTATTTCATTAATCAAATTTAAAATTTTTTCCAGAGAGCTCTTTCCTTTTTTTAGCCACATTCTGGTGGAAATAATTACTGTTTGTCTTACTTGACCAGTTAATTTTGTGTCATTTTGTATTAAAATTCGATGGACTTTCCACTGTCATCAGTGGACTCACTATGTTGAAGATTGAGAATTCTTATTTGTATTGTCCTTACTCTGCCCTTTGTGGATACTGCCTGAAGACAGGAGTTGTGTAAGTGGCTCTGTGTCTAAGGACACAAAGGCTGCTGTGTGTTTGTTTCCTTCTACAGCAGTTTTGTAACTACAAGCTTGTAAGGTGCCCAGGCAGAGGAGTTCTCCTCTTGTGCCGTGTAACCCTGACCAACCTTGCTTTTGAGCACCTATTCCTTGTATCTCTTGCTTCATGAATGCCATCCTTGTGAACTCTTCCTTCCACCCACACCAAACTGGGGAGAAGTCATAGTCACTCTGGCTACTGTGCCTAAGGATGGGTTAGTAGCATATCTGGTAACATTCCTACAATGCTTTTTAAATGCAGTATAGACATTTGGGGAGCATATTTATCAGAACTTTCATTTGGCATTGCGATACAGTGGAACATTCATTTAAATATTTGTTTCATTTTGCTGCCTAATTATCTGAGAGGAACCTACAACTGCTGTTTACTTGCTGTAGAGATTCCAGCCCAAAGAAGTGGCTAAGTATCCCCTCCAGCATATGAAGATCCCTTCAGCTTTGCTTACAGAATCAAGCTTTAAATGTTCATTTCCATTGCTGTAGTTACCAGCCTACACAGCAAGTTCCCCCCTCACCCCCCTTTTTTTTACTGCTTCATTCTCCAATCAACAGATGATGTAATGGAGAGGGAGAGCTTAAATATCCACATGATGCTATTCACTGTTACAAAGATTAGCTGAAAAACTTGTGCTCAAAAACTTAGTATTGCAATGCTTCATTAAAACTGATTTGTAACCGTCTGTGTTCTGTTTGAATAGACTGGTGTATGGACCACACTCACCAAGATTGAGCAGAATTTTTTAAAACCACTGCGTGTAGGACTCAACATGTCAAAAGCACATTATGAAGCAGAAATAAAAAATAAGAAAGAAAACAGAAAAGGTTAGTTGTTTTTTTTTCCCCGTAGTTTTGTTCATATCTAGAAACTCTGATAATCCTTTGGAAACAAAGAATTGGTGAGTGCTGTATAGATTATGTTTTATTTAACTGTTGACGCTATTCCAAACCTCAGATAATAATTCAGGAGTTGCTATATTTGATATTAAAATTTTTCGTAATTGGTCAGAAAAAATCTGAACTTGTTTATCTGTCATCACATTTGTAAATCTTACGGAAACCTAACAGAACTGTCACACGAAGATCTTCAAAGCTGCTTCTGCATTTATCCTTTTGATTTTAATGTTACTCAGGAGCAGCATGTAAGAATACATGGCCCTTGGGTTTCGTACCAGGTGTAGGGAGGTTAACAAGAGAAGAAATAAGTCACACAGTGCTCTCTAAAGCCTGAAGCATTACAATCTGGATTTTTTTTAATTTTTTTTTTTTTTTTTAATCTGACACACAGAATCAGGTTCTGCTCTGGGTTAAGCAGACACATTGCGTGGGGCACAAGAGCTGTAGCTGCTTGAGGGGATCTCTCTGTATGTCAGATCCTCTCTTCCTTGTGGTCTCCAGTATAATTAAGACAGCCTAAGGTCTGCTACTAAAAATGTCAGTACAGCTTTTTGCCCCTAGTCTTACCCTATTCTGTAGTAAACTATATAAGTATGAGGCAAAGGTTTTTTTTTTTTCTGAAGGCAACCTCTGTATATCTTTCTAAAGGGAATCCTTCAAAATTAATCAGGAAGTTTTTTCTTTAAGTCCCTCTTACATTTCTCTAGCCTTTGACAAAGTATAAAGAGATTTGAGTTCGGGAGAGGACATCTAACGTGTGACCTTAAATGGTTTACCTTCCTTCCCCAGTGTATAATCTTTGTAAGAATTACATTTTATTTTAAGGATGTGGTCTGAACATAAGAGGTTTTCCCCTTAGTTTTCAGACCTGTCCTTATAGTTTAACCTGCTGCAAGTAATCTGTCTGAAACAGAGAAGCCTGCAGCCTTTTCTTAATAAAATAAGTATTTCATGTCTGGATTCATTAACTCAAACATAAGAAGCCTCCTACTATCTCTCTGGATGTGGAAATTTAAAAAATTTATTAAAAACTGACCAGATAAAATCTATTTTTCCATTCCAAGAGCATTTGAGCTGTATAAAATCGTTTCGAGTTGCAGATCTTGCCTGTTTAGTGATGTAGACATTCGTGTTATAGAAAGTGTAGAGAGAGCATCCAGCTCAAACTGCCTTCCTCTGAAGGTTCAGCACTTTCCATCCTGTTTGCTCAGTCCCTAGGTTTGTGTTCCTAACAATTACTGTCTCAAAATTCTAATATATTGAATATTCTTTTCATTCTAAGAGTCACGTTGGTTATTTTCTTCTACAGAGGCCCACAGTTCTAACACAGTTTGTTCTGTAACTGTTAGTGGGGAAAAGATGCCTGCCATGACTACTGGAATGCAGCTTCAGGTGAGTTTGCATTTCCTTCAGAGCTATCAGAAGTATTGCCATCGTCTTTTCAATGTGGAGACAGAAGTATGTGTACAGTGAGTTAAAAAAAATAATAAAAGTAACACTAATCTTTTTTGTCATTTCAGGTTTTACACTCGGCTCTCTTCACGTTTGATTTAATAGAAAGTGTTCTAGCTCGAGTAGAAGAACTCATTGAAGTGAAAATAAAAGCTGTAATGGATGACAATAGTTAGGTCAGCTGAAGTATTTGAATTAACATACTCCTTACAAGTTCATTTAGACTGGGAGACTTTAGTTGCAAAGGAGGCTACCAGCCTTTAAAGAGGAGCAATTTAGAATGGCCTCCAGAAGAATTGCAAATGCTGCTCTTGTTGCATGTGATTCACAAATATGGTCTATTTGCTCCTCTTCAGAATTTGATGCTTTCTCTTAAGTTTAGAAACTAAGAACAAGGTGGGGGTGTGCTCTTCTGTTGTGGCAAGGAGGTGTGGCTGGGCATTTATTTTTCTTTAAATTCTCAGAATTTGTTAGCTAGAGTTACTGACTGGTATTGTGAATTACAAACATTTTTATGAAGTGACTGAAGAACCATTAATTAAAAAGCACTGTTGCAGCACAAGGTATTTTTATTAGCATGTTTTTATGTTGACAAACAAGCTTCTAGATTTGCAAACAGACTGTAAGGTATTGCTAGATAACAGTATAGAATATAATATCTATAGATGGTAAAACACTGTGGCAAAGGAAAACCAGGTTTAAAGGAAAACACATCAACTTTGAGCCAAGTAAGATGTTAAAACTTAGTAACATAACAGATAATGCCAGAGTTAAAAAAGCAGTGTAAGATTTCATGCATATACCTGTGTATGCTTGGGAAACCTGTATTTTGGAATTGTTCTGATCATCCTTATCTTTAATGATAAAGTTTTTCTTTAAGACATAGTAAATATTTTGGGAAATTATTTATAAACAGATGAGTCTGTAAGTTCAGAATCAAGTTAAAAATAAGGATGACTTTTCTATAGTGCAGGTAAATCACTTTTCCCCATGCTTGGAATGCATGTTTGGTATCAAGTATGGTATTTTTCACTGTATAGTTATTTAATATGAATTTTCATTCCAAATGCATATGTTGTATATAGTCTTTTGAAATGTAATTATATTTTAAAGAACATTCTATATTTTGTTTAAAATGTAACCATTCTATTTATGAATAAAAACCCCAAACACTAAATTAATTACAGTGCGATTGGTACTCCTGGAGCATCTTCCAAACTGGACTTTTTTCTATTATTTGGGCTTTTATCATTTCCATTTTGTAACGAGTATCATCTGCTTGTGGCTTGGAAGTTATCTTAGGGAGAAAAAAAATATTATGAGTAGGGCACAGTAACTCCTAGGTAATAGAATATTCTACATCCTATATTTCCAGTAGTACAAGTGCAAAATTATTCAGCGGTGAAATCTGAATCATGTTCTGCAGTAAGTATTCAGGAATGATGTACACAGAGGTGACGGAATTTCAACTGGAGCTGGGAATGGTAGCTCGGGATTAGTTGGATGGTATTGCTCCCTTGGCCATATCTATTAACCTGGGGCAAAGCGGTGATTTTTAGGCCTTGTACCAGTTAGGGATTCTCTGGCAAATGATGAGCTCATTAAACTGGCTTTGCATCAGTAAGAAAGAATGCAGTGGCAACCAGCGGACGTGATAGGTGCTGTCACCACTTCTTACAGGGCTCTCCTGTTGAAGGCTGGTGCAAATGTTCTGAACAAGTAGAACAGCAAATTACTGCTGAACCTATAAACTTGAATCTTAAAAGCTTTTAGGTAAATGCTGTATTAAGAGACTGGGCATCACTATATTCAGGAAAGCATAGAAAGTAAATTAGTTTTTGATTCCTTCCTAACAAGTCATTCAACCTGATCTTTCTAGTTTTGGTACATGGGATACTGCTAGTACTGATACAGTTCATATCTAAAGTTAGAGTTTTCATGGAAAAATGGCCTTTAAAGAGTTTCAGTAAATTGATTTAATTAATAATATGTTCTGATACTGGATATGTTGCAGATCCACAGATACATGACAGTAAGCTGTAGCAGTAATATACTAGCGTGTGCATCACTAAAAATTCACAAGTAACTACTTGTAACTAAGTTTTAAGATAGCATTTTTACTTTACGTTGAATTCATTACATATTTAGATCTTATGCATGAAGACATTCTAACTTAACAGTGGTAAGTAAGAGCCAAATGAGCTCTTAAATATCTAATGTGTCTTTGTAGATGCTATTAAGACCTTTTAAGTTACCTTTAACAATAGTTTAAAGACTCAGCTAAAACATAAGAGGACCAATCCTACCTCAGTGTATTAATGGATTGTGGTCAGTAGAACCCAGAGTTCCATTAAGGAAAACCAAATGTTTTATAGTTCTTGGTTTTTCTTGATAAATATACTAGTATTTTTAAGTAAATGCAACTGGACTTACCTTAGCCATAGTTAGCATTAATTTAACAGTTTCAGCAGGATTATGAACTGGTATTACACGTAAATTACTGCCCAGGAATCTGCACATCAAAATAAATTAAAGTTTACTTTTAGAATGTGTATTTAATTTGTTATGCTATAAAACTCAAAATGCATTCCCACATGTTGTAAACAACTTTTTACTCTGCAATTTTACTTAACATAGAGACTGTTTTTATCCTTAAAAGCGAGTGGAAAATTCATACTGTTTGTGTAGCCATCTGTCCCATTTCTGTACCACTTATTTAGGTGGGATTTGAAAGGCTCATTTCTTTATCTAGGGCTCTTGGACAATCAATCAGCACTTCTTAAGCATGTTTACACTCAGAGAGAACTAAACCCTCTTCTGTGATATTGCTGAAGAGTATTCTCAGTGGCAATAAAAAATATCTGGGTTATTTTTATGGCTTTGGAAAAACACAGGAAAGTATCTAAGACACTGTGCTAAAAATACTTCAGGATTTGAGCTAAATCGTTGTAGTGTACTATAAATAAAACAACCTGTATTCCAGACGTGGTTCAGGTAATGGGATAATTTACTTTCACGTAAAGGCTTTTTCACTCAAATACTTTGACCTAAAATTCACTCTCTTTCTATAAATAGTGTTATTAGTATGCATTTGTTCTTGAGAATGGATTCTGAAGATTTTAAATAGTAGCATCAGTTGTCATTCAATGGAGAGATCAAAGCTTAGCAAGCACAGAGCCTCTCCTTCAGACTGGTACCTGAAGTGTGTTGTAACAGTGACAAAACGTGAGCGCTGCTGCTGTTTTCTGTTGTAGAGCTACAACGGGAGAGGGACTTAACAACAAAGAATGAGGAATTTTAAATAAGCAAAAATGTAATCCAAGTGAAGTGCCCAGCTGCTCAGTTGCATACTCCCCTGTGACCTCCCCTTGTGCCTACCACCTGCTCTTCCTGCAATCTGGCTGATGACTTGGACTCATGATAAGACCCCATGCTGGTTTGGTATCTCATCTGAACTTGTCTGCCCTTGCTTCTAATTAGCAAAACTGTTACAGGCACTGTCCTAACCTAAGAGTAGGCACTCAGTTCCCTCTTGAGTTTTGCTAAAATCTGATGCAGGAACCGTGGTTTGATATACATTCAGGGCTTAGACAAATAAATTGCTGCAATTTTATTAATACTAGAACGGGCTAAACAAAGCATGAAATGAACAAAGTGCAACAAAAAAACAGGCCTATTTACTGAGATCCATGAAAATCTGTTTTTATGAACAGTTCTGCTTCCAATTACAGCAGGTCTAAATTTAGTTTTATTAATTTGATTAATGGGCAGAATACTGGCCATTTGAACACACATCTAGTCTTTCCTCCAGGGTGTTAAAAACCTATCACACACCTACTTATTAGTGGTTATTAGTGGAATGCTCATTTAAGCTGCTGCTTTTCTCCCTCTTCCCCCACACTATACACAACCTTACAGAAAGTGTTCATGTTGTTGAAGAAGAATCCTATAATTTTCTTTTTAATAATAAAAACCAATCCTTTCCCAGTTGCAGCAAAACCATAGACAAGCAGAATGAAACAGTAATAGAAGACAACCTGAAAGTACTAAGGTGTTTTGTTTTTTAACAAATCCAACAGGTGACTTGTAGTTTGAAAGAACATGGCACAAGTTTCAACCCCACCAATGCAGAAGCTCAGTCAGTGCTTTACATACAGCAGAAGAATTCCAAGATACCAGGTAGTAAAAAGCAAATGCATTTAGAATATAATTGTGCCTTGTCAACGTGAATTTGATATTGCTTGCAATGATAAAACTGTTTTTCTTTTAATAAAATTACTGACTTGCCAAATGGAATACAGTTCCAAAACATCGCATTTTAGTGATCAACAGGTGCACAAAATCTGTTGTACATAACCACGATCTAGATTGAGAAATTAGCCTTGTCATCAGCTGAGTAACATGTTCTTGCTGAATAGACAAGTTGCCACTTGTCCTGTTAATTCCTAAAATAATATTCCCAAATCTAAGACTGCTGCTTCATTTCTTCCTAGCTAATAAAAAGTTTGGTTTGATGTTGAAATCTTACCTTTTCTGAATCCTGAACATGACACTCCATTCTTCTGGTCCATGAAGAGCAGCTGACAAAACCAGAAAACTGTTCCGATGAATGCCTATGAACCTCTGAATTCTTTCAGAAAACTGTTCTTCCCCCGTCCTAAGCAAATCTTGAGTGTCTGACAGTATAAATGCAACACCTATTGAGGAAAATCATGTAAATGTACCTATCGTGGCAATAACGGGATGGAGTTCTTAGCACAAACCAGGAAGCAGAATTCTTAATTTAACCATTAGTTTAAAAGGGAATGGAACAAAACCCATGAATGAATTTACACATCTTTGACAGTGAAATGCAGTCATGAGATTTGGCCACTGATGACTAGTAATTTTAAGATAAAACTAGAAATAACTCAGAGGTTATTTTTCTACCATAACATTAAAAAACCAATTATTCAATCCACTCAAAGTAGACATATCTGAATGCCTTTGAAAGCACATGCTGCAAGAACAAGTAACTGCTATAAAGGAATGAATTTAGGGCAAATGCAAAAGCTGACTGAAGAGCTCAGCAAGTCATGTTTTTAAATTAAAGAAATCAGTTTTAAAATCTTAAAAGTTAGCTAAACTGTCTACCCTGAAACATGAAATTGTAGCCCTTTCAACTAAGTTATTCTGAAGGGAAAGCTAAGAAGGCTGAAGACTAGGAGGCTTAGCAACTGAGCATATAGAAGACTTGGCTTTTGTATGTGTGCTAGTCCTTATAAGGACTAGTTCAGGAAAACTTCAGATAAAGGATCTCATGTACGTGTCTAAACCATCTTCTGCTCTAAAAAGAAAGTAGATATTTCATGTTTACAGTTTAAGTGATTTCCTAATCAAAGCCACTCAAATAATCCTTTCCGTGCCTCCTCTGCTACCACCAGGTCTGCAAATTCAACTTGGAAGTTGACAGCCAAAGGTCTCGGTTCACTCTTAACATTTATAGCTGTGCATACTCAAGATCTTGATGGCAGCTTACATGTTAGTGGCATTCAGCATGTTGGCTCAGTTATAATAAGATTTTACTGAATAGTTCAGTTCACCAAATCTCATGTAGCTGTTCTACAAGACATCCCCAAAAAATTAAAAAAAATGACAGTGTTTTGTTCCCAAAGTTCTCTGTTTCATCTGATTTGCATTCAACCATAGCACAGCTCCTTTCACTGCTGCACAACATTCCAACAAGGCAGATTTTATTCAGTTTAGCACAGCCTACAACAGCGCCTGATCTTGTACCTCATTGGAGTTTATGATTTAAAAGGACAAACTTCAAAGTACTGTACCAGAAAGAGGAAAAATCACAGATCCAGTTTCCACTGATTCTGAATATCGAACTCGGTGGTGTTGCCTCTGTAGAATGGTAGAAATTTCATGATCCTAAATAAATTTTAAAAGGTTATTTTAAAAATATGTTTTCAGCCCACAAGTTAAAAATATCCTTAAAGCATCATCTGAACCATTATAGACAGACCTTTAGCATCGTTGTTTAAAAAAAGGAAGTATTGCGAATGGAATAAAAACTAAGTACTAAAATGTTGAATATTTTCAATTAATTAATTTCTTAAGTATTGGATTGGAAGTTACACTGAAAGACAACTCTGTACATGCACGTTCAGTTTGTCTCAGGAAACTCCTGCATAATGCATAAAGAAGCTCAAATATTTTACAGTCTGTTTTTGTAAGAAGTGCTAAAGGAGGATTTGCAGAAGTGAGGAACATACAGTAGTGTGTTTCTATGACTCCAGTTAATTAAACTGCATTATTTTCACAGATGTCAGCATCTCAGTTGGAAAATAGTTCAGAAATTCTGTATAGGACATGATTTTCTTTAAAGCTTTTTGACAGAATGCAATCCACTGAGGAAAACTAATAATCATAATCATCTACAGAATGGAAAGGGTGTGGATGTATTTTTCAGCTTGCAAAAAGCATTTCTGCAGTATATTCTACAAAAGCTGCTTGAACACACATATTTTAAAGGTTAAATCACAGAATCCTTTTTGGCTAATAACATGTTCTTTAACCTACCCATTTAAAATATAGCCAACCTGCCTATAGAGGAAAGTGTCATGATTTAGTGGAAGAGTACAAAATAAAATCTGTATAGCAAGTGAACCCTGAAGGAGACAGTAACCAGAAATGTCATGCTTTCAACTGGTCTGGAAAGGGAACACTCAGTGGCAACTGCTTATAACTACAATTTTGGAGAAAATGCACAAATATAAAGAACAGCTGTAAGAAAATTATAGCTGTACTGGAAAAAGAGAAAGCTTATAACCAAAACTGGTACAGGAAGCCATCTTAGATTTGTGTTCAGCTTTGTGTATGGGAAGCCCTTACTAACAGCAGTAGTTCTGAATAGAGCTGAAGAGCTTATTAATAGCAATGGGTTATGGTGGTATAGCTGATGAAATCACTGCCACCCAATACCTCTCACCATATTATGGATTAAGTTGCTCTTGAAGCAGTTCCCAAACAGGCACAGTTTACAGGCTGTAAATTCCAAGACACAGGGGCAAATAAGAATAGGCTTTAAACTGAGGTGATTCAGGAATTATTTCAACATGGTTCACCCATTTACCCAGCAGAGATGGGGTGATAACCTTGTCAGCCAAGCTAGCATGAGATATTCTTGCCTGTGAATCAAAGCCCTCTTGCCTCTAAATTCTCATCAGCTGGCATGAAATTGGCCTCAGCTGCAGAAACTAATTACCAGCTCATTGACATACCCTTTTGCTTTACTTGGGAACACAGTCAAGGCTTCTGATGTTAACAGATATAAATATATATCAATTTCTGCAAGACTCACTATTTTAAACTGAATTATGTGCTTACTGAGTAATCGTCTGCCCCAATGTTGATACTGTGTAGTAGAAAATAAAGTGTTTAGAGAGAAATTCAGAAAATTGAGAAACATTTCTAATGAAATTATTTATAGCACTAACTGAAAGTGGCATCAGTGCAGTGCAAAAATGATGAGCCAGGAGAACAATCCTAAAGCAGTGTAACTCAGAATAGCAGGTGGCAAGAATACTAAATAGCTACGGAAGTAGCTAGGAGAAAATATAGACACACAAAAAGAACCAGTACTCTAGTAGAAGCAGCTTCAGACTGTTTCATCCTCTGAAAACTCTATTCATTGACATTGCATAATATATTTCCACATATAGAATATAGGACATGATTTTTTCAGCATTTCTTAGTGAGTCAGATGCTGGTCTTGACACGTGGTACTGTACCTGCAGAGCCGTGCTCATAATGACTGTTGTCACCCATCTCGTCTGCTCCTGCCCACAACTTTCTGTCATTTTTTAAAAGGTCTAATGGCTCTGCAGTGAGATCCCAGGTGACACCTTCAGAAAAGCTAGGGAAAAGAGAGACGACAAGTATTTCCTGCCAATTAACGAGGTGTTTAAAGCACATGTACACATTAAAGAGCTGATTAAAAATCAGGGCATTACTCAATTCCCCAGAATGTAACAGGTGCCTTACTGCCAGTGAACTAATTTAAGATGGCAATTAAATACCTAAATGGCTTTAAAGAATCTGCATCTGAGCAGGCTTCCTCTATCAGGCATTACACTGTTCTGAAAATATTCCTGGCTACGCAGCTTGGCAGGCGTTTCTGTGTCCGCGAAGCTCGTGTGGAGCAGTTGGGGACACGGGAGCTCCCGGCAGGAGCGGGAAGCAGCCCTCGGGCTGGGCCTGGCCGGTTCCAGGGGGTACCTTTGTGCTGTTGGTTGTAAACTTCAGCCGGGCCTCTCCCCGATCTCAAAACCTGTTTCGGCGCTGATGCGGAGCCGCGGCGGCGCGGCCGGGACAGCGAGGAGCGGCGGGAACGGGCCGGTGTCCCGCGCTGCCGCCTCAGCCCTCAGGAGCAGCCGCGGCCCTGGGGCCAGCGCTGCCCCCGCGCCGGGGATGGCGGGCACAGCTCCGGCCACCGCGGCAGGGCAAGGACAAGGAATCGCGCCGGGGCTGAGGTGAGGAGCCACTGGGGCTGCCTTTCCTCCGCCGCTGCTCCGGGGCGGTGTACCGGGACGGGCTCCTGCTGACCGCCCTCCTGGCCATCCTGGAACTGCCCACATAAAGACGTCCAGAACTTGGTGTTGGCCTGAGGGCCTGCTGCTGTGTAAGGGCAGATTTTGACATTTTCAGCACCACTTTCAGTGAAAAAGAAATACCCAGAGTGTTGGAGCTTCTTTTTTCATCATGTAAGAGGAAACAATACTTCATATAGCAAAGAAGAGTTGGAGTGCAATCATAAAAAGCACTGAAAAAGCATTGATTTCCAGCTCTGCTCTTCACCCAGGCATGAGTCTAGCTTCAAATACTATGACTGAAACTGCCATTTTACTGAAAATCGGAGATTTTAGTAAAAGCTTTCCCTTTTAAACCACTTTAGAGCGTTTTAAAATAGAAGTGACCTCATCTATTAAAAATTATACATTTAAATAGCAAATTGTCTGCCTTGCATAAAATTAATTAGACATCTTAGTGATTTAAAAATCACTCTTTTCCTTTTTGTTCTAGACAAGAAGTGGATTCACACCCCATTTCCCTCTCCTGTTGGTGCAATGCATGGAAGTTAGGGTTACCCTGCGCTGCAAGGATACGGGAATGTCATACTACTTTTCCCAGTAAGTCAAGTATTTCTAATACTGAATTTTAAAATTCCTGTGGAGCATAAATGTGACAGTCATCAAATTAAAGGAAAGTAACAGATGTATTTGGTATCCCAACTGCTGCCTTCTGGAGAGCTGTGACAGGACCAACCAACTGTGAAACCGTGTCCTGTGACACTGTGGCACCACGTGCTCTGACTGCATACAAAAATCAGGGAGCTGAGAACATCAGGAATTATTTTAAAGTACAATTATAAAATAATAAGGTAGTTTTATGATGAGGGTTGATGATCCTGCTGACATCTGTCAATGTGAATGTTGAATTCATGCATACTATGAATGAACTTGTGTTTCAGTACTGGAGAAAGCCTAAGGGTAAAGAGTAGTAACTTTTACTGTAGTGGTTATACCTGATTTATGACACTATAGTATATCTGAATTAATAATTTTAGATTATGTCTAATGTGTACATGCATTAATTGAATTACAACCATTCAAATGGAGAGAAAAAACAGTAGGGAATAGAATGGAATAAAAAGTTATTTCCAGTGTAAATATCTGTAACAGGTGAGTAGTCTTATGTTTCTTCAATGTAATGCTGTTAGAAATGTACAGTACATACAAGGGTACATTATTACATCAAAAAAGATTGTCATTACAAAGAAATATAAACACTGGATTTAGGCTCCTGGTATACCAGCAGATGCCTTTTTCCCCTATAGCCACTTATTGTGCATGGAGTTGGACACCTCCAACCTCAAAATACCACTTGAGAGGCATCAAAGTGGATAAGTGTGGGACAATGAGGAAAATCCCTACCTTAACTCAAAATGCTTCCTGTCAATATTTTGACTCCAGTTGTTATATATATGTGTAAATTGTGTATCTTAATTAGAGTTGGCAAAAATTTATACCAGAAACTTAATATCTTTCTCCTTGTCACTTACATTTGACAATAGTTCACATTTGAAATAAAAATAAGACTCTGAGACAGAAAATTCTGAGCACAATGAACCCCATGAGTCCCATGTAAGAGCCACCCTGGCCTAGGGCTTGTCTGGTTCAAGTCTTACACAACTGGTCATGCTGAGCCCCTGGACTAGGAACTACTCAAGGGACAATTCTGGTAGAAGATTGTTCGGCAATACCATTCAAGTCTGAATCTCACTACACGACTTGCCTTCTCTCTTTTTTTCAGCCTAATGTCACAGGCTAAATAAAGAGAGTTTGGACTCAAAGAAAAGAGTTTTTTCTGGATTGTGTATTCTTCAGAGCATTCTCCACAGAAGTTTTCCTTCCCAAAAGCGACTTTTGAGGGCTCCTGTGCTATCTGATAAGCTAAATTTATTTTAGTACTTATGGTTATCTCTGTTGTGACATTTTGGTAGTCTTAGCTTTAAACCTCAGCAGCATTCCTTTCCCACATACCTGCACGGTGCATTTCACGTACGGGTGATGGTGCAGGAGAGAGAAAGAATAGGGCTGAGTCTGGCAGCATATCAAATAATTCCTGGAAGCAGAGCAGAGAACCAACCCCATTTAGGCAGGAATAGAAAGATCTTGGGATTACAACTCCCCTACGATGAAGATAATGGTGTAAGCATTTGGATGAATAACTAATTTACGACAAGGCAAAATCTATCATCTAATTAGTGTTTCTCTGTGCTGTCTGGAACCATATCCCGTGTGTTCCACATCAGCACCGTTTTTTGATTTTGTAGGGCAGTTACACAGGTATCATCTTCCTCTCTAAGCATTTTGTATGAGAACTGATTGTTGATCACCCATCCTGTTCTCTGATTACACAGTTAAAGAAAAATTAATCTTTTCCTTTTAAAGGAGAAAGAGGAAGAGTGAAAGAGGTAGAGTTCACTAAACACATAGAAAAGTAACGCTTTTCTTCGCAATTTTCAGAGCACAAATAAAAATTGATGTCAGCAGTCCACAAGTTGAATGAAGTACAACAACTCAGCATTTAACTTACACATAGGTTTATTATTTTCTGTCATACATAAGTCAACTAAGAACCTTCAGTATGTAGCATGGGGAAGAAATGTTTGGGACTATGGAACCATACAGTTATTCTGGAAACAGAAGACCATGTTGACAAGGAGTCATTTGGAAATATGATTACTTAGGCCCCAGCTAATTATCTAAATCTGAAAAGCAAGCAGTTGAAAAACATGCAAGCATTCAGTTTGAGAGCTTAAAACCCTCCCCCTCCCTCCACAAGACCAAGTGGTCAAAATATTCTTGGACCATAAAGCCATGGACTATAGCTAGTGACTCAAACTTTTCTCCAGATGCATCCCATTATACATATATTGGATTAATCTTGATTACTAAAACATGATAATCCAGAAAATAGAGATTGAAGTTTTTTTCTCTACAGATACAGGAAGACATTCTGTTACAAGTAGGAAGCTTGACTTAAAGGTGGGTCTCATGTTTGTGGACATTAAAATTACCTCAGTCTATGAAGGTCACAAAAATTTTTCATACCACTTACACTAGATCTGGCATGTACATATGGTTGGTCCTATTTATACTGATCTTAAGCACACTGATGTAACTCTACTGAGAGGCAGGATGCCACTCCACACTCAAAAGTGTTATTAAAAAACAAAGAGAAGAACTAAAATAATTCCATTAAGCACAACTGTATAAGAAAACCACAAAAATTCCTAAATAAGGATTGAATATAGGAGGATGCTGTAAATTTAAGTAAGTTGGTGAGATCAGTCTCAAAAGAGGGTTATAGAGCCAAGTTACATGAGCCAAAGTTTTTACTCAGGTAAGTAAGTAGTCTTTCTGTTCAGACACTTAAATACACTGATTTTTGTAGATATGGATCTGATACCACTCACACTAACTGCAGCGAGAGCTGACAACAAGTAGCCACTTTCACTTGTGTGCAAAAGTATAAAATCTGATGGACTACCTGGGTCATTGGGCTGAGTCCCAAATTTGTGCATGTGAGCCTCTGTCCAGGTTCACCAGAATACGGACTCTAATGCAGTTAACAGTCATCATCCTACTCTGACCATCAATGTCCTTGTGAAATACATCTGGTTACTGAGTTATCATCAGCCCCTCCAAAGACTGAGGTTTGAGTCACTGAAGACATGATCAGTATTCATATTTTACAGCGCAACAGCAAAAGAAATTTTGTTGCATTTAATGGGAAAAGTTATGATTTCTTAGGACTCTGATTTCTCTAACTGAATAGTCTTCTGAGCTGGCAACTTCAGCAATAAATCAAGGAGAACAGGGAAGCAACTTAATGGAATTCCGTTATTAATTATTTCATACTTTAACTGCATCCAGATGGCTCATCAGGATTAGAAGCTCATTAAGCTGAGTACTGTATAAAAGCCCAAGCATGCCCAGTGCCTGCCCCCAGTGCCTGCCCTCAGTGCCAGCTCCATTACCCTTTCTGAAAAGCCAGTGTTAAATGGAAAGCCAATCCGCAATTGTGCACGTGGATTCGCTCCTGTGCTTGCAGAACTGTGGCCTAATGGACCGTACAATACAGACTGCAAAGCTTAAAAGGAAGGTCAAATGCAATAAAATAAACAGGTGTGCATGCATGCATTGTATAGCTTCTTCAGTTATTGTATTAGTTGACAAATGTCAAAAAATCAAAGAAATTATCCAACTCAGTATTTTTGCCCAGTCAATATCCTGTTACAGGTTTAGTTTCCTTAAACACAAATAGTAATTGTCAGTAGGAAGAAGCTTGGTTTTAAATTAGCTAAGGAAGGGATCTGAGCTGTAATTTTTCCAAAATTGAACGCATTAAATCTTATTTTTCAAAAACTATCATATATAGCATGTGTTCAAGAGAGAGATATGAAAATCAGTATGGGTTTTCCGCAAGAGATGAAAGCTTCTAATTATATTGGATTTCATATCTAAAAGCTCATTTCCTGGGAATCATGTGTTGTAACAAAGCTTCAGTAATTCTCATTCTGTCTTTTGTCCTCAGTTCCTGTGTAGTCCTGGCATGAAAGTCATCTATCAATGTACAAATGTTAAATCACTCCAGTCATGAAATATTAACAGAATGCATACAGTTATGACTAATAAATTGAAGTCTTTCTAGCTGTAATTTGTCACACCTACAATTGTACAACGTTATTAGTAGAGTAAAACTAGAAAACTATGAAATAGATATACTGGAAAAATAGCATTTCTAG